GATAGGTGATTGATAGACCCAGTATGGTTTTGAGCAAAAAAAAATAGAAACATAGAACACCGGGCGCCTTTCCTGGTGCAATGAAACCTTTTAATCAGTTAAAACTAGGGATGTCCCAATGCCACTTTTTCAGGTCCAAGTACAAGTACAAGTACATCCCCTCATGTACTTGCCGATACCAATTACCGATACTTTTTCTTAAAGGGACAGGTGACTTTAAATGATCCATAGTACAACTACATGTTATGTACTATGGATCATGGTTTAACCTATTCATGTTAGCAGTGGAGAATTGTAACTCTATTGCTGTAATGTAGTGGAGGTGTGTGCTGTATATATGTACTACATATACATTACACACGTCCAGTACACTATAGCAATAGATTTACAGCCAGCCCCGTCCCAGCTTCCCTTACTCACAGTTTCACTCCGATCCCCATAGTCTCATGCGGTGCCTCTTGTCGGCGCTGGGCAGGATCGCTGCATCGCATCTCGGTGCTCAGCTTGTGGGAGGCGCTCACAATTCTACCCTGCTAACATGAATAGGTTAAATCATGATCCATAGTACATAACATGTAGTTGTACTACGGATCATTTAACCCATTCATGTTAGCCGGGAATTATTGAAAATATATTTCCGATGCTAGCATCGGTATCGGGACATCCCTAGTTAAAACATATAAAAAAAAATATATGTACTCACAAGGAGAGCAAGGGTAGAAAGGGTGACTCTGAGGTAGGGGGTGTGCCCCCGAAAACGCGATTAGCTGTGTTTGTGTGATGTTGCCAATCAACGGATCCTCTGGATTGTCCTCTTATTCACGTCCTTATTAGGACAATCACTAAAGACAAATGTCAATCGATGCCTTTACCCTTGCTCTCCTTGTGAGTACATATATATTTTTGTACATGTTTTAACTGATTAGAAGGTTTCATTGCACCAGGAAAGGCGCCCAGTGTTTGTTTCTTCTATGTTTCATACTGTGCACAGTATCCCTTGTCTGAAATGGGGAAGCCTTTTTTGGATCTGAAAAAGTATCATCCACTGATCGTAAAGAGGGTTCTATTTGGCGTTGGTCTATGTGTGTGTTTTTAAAAAAATGGCTGCATTTCTCTCTGTGTATATGTGTAGTGTATTAATAGTAGACCTACATGTGGTACATTAATGATAGACCCAGTGTTGGCTTTGACCAGAAAATGAGTTCCCTTCTCTGTGTTTTACAATAAAGGCTATGTACACTTTTTAATTAAAATTGTCTTTTCAGCCAAGGGTTAATTTTATTGAAAAGGTGAACTATAAGCCCAATATTGTTCTGCCCAATGCCTCCATGCAAAGAATACAGGCAGGTAAAATGATAAGCCCCATAATGGTTCCACCAAAAAATGCCTTTCTCTACTGTACATATTGGTCAAACCACCAATGGTCCAATCCCAAAATGGCTGCTTCTGTCTTCTGCATTACACCTGTCACCCTCTTCAGGTCCTAATCAGAATACATTTGTGGGAAGAACTGAAATCTTTTTCATGCCAAACAGACAGGAGCAAGAATGTTTTTCATGATGGCACACGTTAAACTCCCCAGGCTGTTAAATAATGTTAGAAAAGTTTCCATAGATGAGTCAGATTTATGAACTTCTAACCTTTAGCTGGCTGTTGCAGCATATTAAATGCATCTTAGGAAAATAACATACAATTAAGAACAAAGCACCCGGCAAGTCTTGAATTTCCAGTAGGGCCTTGTGCTTATAGACCTGCTGCTGGGCATTACCACGACCCCAATGTGTTATGAGGGGAGTGTGCACAGAGACATTAGATCATTTCATTAAATGGCCAAAGGCCACAAGTGCTGCTAACTTGTCACTGTATTGTTCTTTGATGAATGGTTATGAGGTCATTATACATGTGGAAACAAAACGACTTGTTCGGTGGCTGTCTCTTGAATTGTTCTCTTGGGAAAGTATCCTCACCGAGTCTGGCCGACGGCTGAAGCTGCAGGGGCAAGTTTTGATTGTGCGTGGATGTGCACATTGTGTGCGATTGCATACAGTTTTTTTTTCCACTTTTAAAAAAGGGGTGCACGTTCACGGGGCACATTCACCAGATCTGTATCGGAACTAAAAACTGTGGTTTTATTTCACCAGATCTGAATCTAAACTCTAATTTTATTCAATTAATGGCAGTAGCTTATTCATAACAGTATCGTGATGGTGTTTGAGGATTGAGATAGCTCACATGAGAAGGAGCTAAAAATTGCCTATGAACCTACCTAATAAAAAATGGGTTCCAAAACAGGTGGTTGATTGTATGCGATATTAGCTGCACAATTGTGCGATTAAAAATCACCCGTGTTGCGGTAGGTGAGGTGAGTATCTCCAGATCTAGAATTTTCCACCTGTTTGGGAGACCATACTGTGTTTATGGTGCCACTAAATAGGCCTGGCTGACCTTTGTCAAGAAGGAAAAAAAAATTAGATAATTGAAAACTTGTGCTTATGCCTGAGCAGCCAAAATCTAGGACAAGCAGTGTCAAGTCCCTAAATCTATGCAAATAATGACTTTGAGAAATTCTGTATGTGCATGGGGTCCTTTAAAAGCTCAATAGGTGATTTGAATGGGATGACGGTAATGGTAAACACTGTTGGGGTAACGGGGGAGCATCGAGGTGTTATACGCATGGGGGGCCACGAACCAGGGGCAAATGTTAGCCAAACCTGTCATGTCACGGCGTGCATGTGGTTCCCCACAGATATAACATCCCTGCTGAATCTGGACAAAAGTGTTTAATGTGTAACATTGTGAAATAGATAATCTGCGCTTCTGGAGAAGAGACTAAAGTAAAAATATGTATTATTAATTAAGACCTAAAGCAGCTCTAAAAGAGGATGGGAAAATCCTTTCAGCGGTCAAGAAATATATATCAAAGCGCTAAAGGTATAAGTGGTATGAAACTTGGTGCAACCAGGTAATAAAGTGAAATTAGGGTTTAAGCAATCTGGCCTAAAACCCAATACTGAACAATTCGAAAGAAATCTTACATGGGATCATAAAACAAAAGAAAAAAATATATTAATAATTCGATTATACTGTGAAAAACAAGATAATGATTAAAACAGTAAAGGAATGTAACCACTGTGTAAAAACCATCCAATATATAACGATATATGAACGATCCACACAAAAAAATTATTATAAAAACATCGGAGTAGTGTTCAGTGAGAAAAAAACGTAGAAAACGTGTGCAGAGGAAAAATAATTGTTGATTACAATAATTCTGGTGTCACCCCCTCTGAAAAGTCAGGCACTTAGTCATGGACCGAGAGCCCGACAGTTACATGAGGGAGGAGGGGACTTGGCGGCATAGCTTATCCTGCCGGGTGAACGTCCCCTCCTCCCTTTGCTGGCGTCCATTACCAACATGGTCGCCGGCAGATAAGCTCGCATGACGTCATCACATGTGTACGTGATGACACGATGTCATGTGTGTGCGTGATGACTTTCCAGCGGGGTGTTACTGGGAGGCCGCTCCGAATGAAACCACGTCTGGGGACGCCCCTGTTTAGATGTAATATTTAAATAGATGCAATGTGCTGTTGATTTTGGGTACACTTTAATGCATTTATCATATAACAAGATAGTTTGCGCCATCTGATGGCTGCGGTCACCTTTCTCTCCCAATTATCACCCATAGTATTGCTATCCATTGATGAATGCAGAAATTCTCTTTACTGGCTAACTTAAAGTGCATGTAAACGCAACAAAACTGTAATATATTACAGCTCAGCAGTTCTTAGATTTGGTGGCTGCATTGTTTTTTTATTCAGGCTAAGAATATTTTAACCGGTGCAGAAAAATACCTGTTAATCTTGCCTGAAACTCGATATCTTTGTAACTTCTTGTGCAATAACCTAAAATCTCAGCAATACCTTCCTAGCTATTTTTTGTGAACAACAGAACACCTACTCCGTATGTAATAGAGATGAGGAGGGGGGTGTTTGCAGACCTATTTAGCAGATCAGCCAGGTTGAAAACTGCTCCTCCATCGATACAGTGTATCACTCGGCTGTAGATCCTCCAATCATCTCTGAATTGATGGTGACACTGTCCTTCCTTCTGGATGGGGGCTACTTGTGTTGCCCATGGTCCCTGTGTGTGTTGTAAAGTAGTCACCGCTCCAATCTCGCTCCCGTGATATACTACAATTTCATGTTTAGGTTACTAATTTGTATTGAGATTGTAGTCCATCCCGGGAGTGAGCTTGGAGCGGTGACTACTTTACAACACACACAGGGACCATGGGGAACAAAAGTAGCCCCCCTCCAGAAGGAAGGACAGTGTCAGCACCAATTCATAGATGATTTGAGGCTCTACAGCCGAGTGACATACAAATAAGATACGTTTTCGTTGATAGTTAAGGTACTTGAATGTATTTTTAAGATTTAACTTCTGAGTTTAGTGTCACTTTAAGTTATTAAAAATGCAAGCTTTGGGGGGGAGGGAGGCTTAGCCCCATTCTTCAGGTGTTATGCATTTCCCATAAATCCTGAAGAAGGGCTTCCTGAAAGCTTGCTCAACTCAAGTTACCCAATTAAGAGTATCAGTTCAACTCCAAACTTTCTGATTATCAACTGAAACTGTACTTTCCACCCCTCAAGCCATTGTTCTTGTTGTATGACAGGTCCAGTTTAATTACCCTGCCCTTCCAGTGCCGGCAGGTAGCACTCTGGGTGGGGCTTTCCCATGTCTTGTGGCGCCCGGTCCCCATGTGTATGATGAGCCTGTGTCCTTTGTACAACACACACTCCTGACAGCTGGAGGGAAAGACGGGTGGGGTGGGGGCCCTTTCACAAGCATGAATGAATGTGTCTGTTTGTCCAGCGCCCTCTGTGATTGGTTGACCAGTGTGGGAAACTCGGTGCTTGCAGACACTCATACATTGATATGCAGATGATGTGCTATAAATACAGCCTGATACTACGCCACTGACAGAACTTGGTGACAAGACTACTGATCATGGCTGTCAATGCAGCTACCTGCCTCATCTCCCAGGAATATGCAGAAGACAAGCTCACCACTAAGGAGAAAAATAAGGTAATTTATTTTTTTCTTTAAAGGATCAGTCCTCCCAAAACGGATATTCCATTGCCTGGTAGATGCTGGAGCGTTAAAGCACCTGGAATTAATTTGATCTCTTGTGTAGCCAATTGGCCCCTGCTATATACTTTTTATTATTATTATTATTATTTTATTTTTATTATTATTATGATTATTATTATTACTATTATTATTATTTAGTATTATTATTATTTTTACTCAATTTGTATTGTTTTAGTTAATGTATAAAAAATATTCCAGCACTCCTATCCATGTGATATTTAAGATCAAAGATATCTCCCCAGCTATACACTTTAATCATTTTATATTACGAAGAATGTAACAGGCGGAGCTGGGACACACAAAAGTGGGCGGGAACACTCAAAATTCCCAGGTACAGAGTCAGGAATTATGGCACTGTTGGAGTATCTGTAAGAAGTCCGGTGCTGACTAAGCCCACCTGGTTCCAGCTAATGCTCAAATACCACCCTTTTGGGTGGAATTGCCTTTTAACTATTATTAATTAAATAAAAACAATTTTATTGTTTCCATTTTGAGTTTGCGGCCCCAAGACTTTAGTTTTTTTTAAAGTTTTTCCTTTTCAATTACAAAATAATGTTTCTTTTATATTTGCTTTCCCTATCTAGTAATTTTTCTCCCCCTTTGGCGTCGGGGAGTTTAAGTGTTCAAAAGAACTTAAAACAAATAATTTTTTGCAAAATTAAAAATAACATTTTAAATGATATTTTACAGATAAGGAAACCGATTGTGGAGAAGATGCGCAGAGATCGCATTAACAGCAGCATCAACCACCTGCGCAAGATTTTGGAGCAGGAGTTTCAGCTGCTGCAACCGGATTCCAAGCCTGAGAAGGCCGACGTGCTGGAAATCGCTGTGCAGTTTCTGAGGCAGCAGATGTGCACAGATAGCCATGGTAGGAAATACTTTTATTTTATGGATATGTTCAACTTGTATCATCTACAGCTCAGACTGCAGATGATCAGACTGATGTTATTATGGGTGACACATAGCGCCCCCATGTGGCCATAAAATATGAAGACAGGTAACCAAGAGATTTACAAGTATAACATTGTATATAACAAAATATGAAACTATATATCACTTTGTGTACGTGTGGATGTAAAATGTTCCCTGTTACACAATTTGTCAAAATCTTATTTCTCCCTTAAAGTTTAGATACACTTTAAGGAATTAAATGCATCCAAACTTATATTGGCCATAGTATAGCACAGCGCTTGCCACTGCACAGCTTCACCTGGTCTTACTGTAAATCCTTCTGTATGTTCCAAAGGCATTATCTCTTGTATTATAAATGGATTATTATCACATGCTGTTCTAACCAGCAGTAGACATTACTAAAGGGCCCCTGTGTGAGAACAACCTTTTGCCTCAACCCCATTCAACTACTGCCCCTGAACAAACAATGGTATACTATGTAGGTATATATGGTTAGAATGTCATCCTGTACTTTTGATCTGTACTGTGCAGAGTGTTCATCAGTCTCCTGCTATTTTTCCAGGTGGTAAACCATTTGCAAGAATAGACTACCAGGAATACAGACAAGGCTACTCCAAGTGCCTACATGAGACTCTGTCCTATCTCTCCATCCATCGTTTTGCAGAGGAGGCCCAGATCAAGCTACTGAATCACTTCCACCAACTGGAGACACCTAGAGATCTCAGTCACCCCCGAGTCTCCTCTCAGTCATCTGGCCAACAGGCAAAGCACCAACCTCTGTCTGGCAGCATAAAGCCTTTGTGGAGACCATGGTAGATGAACTGTGCCATCCCGATGTCATATCACATTGATAGGACTTTATAAGTGACTGTAAACATAAGAGGATGCACATATTGCTGTAATCTACAGCCCCTCTTCTTCCTTTGTGTGCTTCCTTAGTGGAAGGTGATCCAATGGAGATCAATGTCTGCTTCATAATGAAGAATGTATAATGCACTTATAGAATGGGATAGTTGATTATTAAAAAAAACTAATCAAGTTTAGATTTATAAGGGTTAAGACATAACTTTATTGGAAACCTGAGATAATATGAGGGATACCATTTCTAAACCTCCTTCTGAAAGTGCTAATTGCCTGTCTGATTCAACATTCCGAGTCACCAGGAAAAAGCATGCAAGTGACATCATGATTCCTGGTCTACATACTTGCGAGCATTTTCAAAGAAGAGGACACAAGTGGAAGCCTCTTAATTTCTCAGAATGGGTCTCCGTTATAAAAACGCTATTACTCTCATATTAATGCAAAGCAAATAGAAACAGGAGCGACCCATCAATGTTAAAACCCATAGCAGCCAGTACAAGTGGAGTTTACCATGGTCAGGTGGGGTAGGAGAGGATTTCTAAATGCTTTTGGGTTACTGCTCCTTGTACGTCCTTTCAAAAGAAGTATTAAAGGAAACCTATCACGAGAGAAATACAAAGACTGCCAATGGTGACCTCTCCCCATGGCTTTCGTACTCATTCACTGTCAATATACTCTGAATCACTGACTCAGGATAAGTATAATGGTCTGGTGTTCTGACTCATATGCTGCAAGATTGTACCAGGAGAGAGACAACCAGGCAACTGGATAGCTCCACCAGGAGATCAGAGATGGCACACCTTTATATCTCTCATGCGGGTCTCCTTTAATGGTTCATTTTCTGTACAGGCAGAAGAAAAGGCCTTGTCTGTGCCACCCAGTAAGATGTTAGTCTTCATCTCCTGACCTATGGTCAAATATGACTGTCCGCTTTTTGTCTTTTGATAGTCAGCACACCATATCAAACCCTTGTAACTTGACATTTAGTTACTATAGTGTACCAACATGGCTGTCCACCAGTGCTTCCATGGATGTCAGTGCCTTTGAAAATATGATGGTTTCTGGATTGTACCGTATTGCACAATGGTACTGTGTAGAGGAACCTCGATATTTTAAGTTCTTATCTGCAATATTTGTGGAGTTTATACAGAAATGTGAATTATTGTTATATGTACAATAAAATATTTTGCTCTTTTATTTAAATGTGTTTGTTTGGTTTCTAAACATATAGTATATACAGTATTTGATTAGATTAGACTTTCTCAACCAGGGTTCCTCCAGAGGTTGCAAAGGGGTTCTTTGAGCTGTGAGTAGTGGCAGATTGACGTCCCGCCTGATGATATCTGCTAAGTTCCACATCATTGGGCAGTGCTAGCTTTCTCCCACTGATCAGCAATGTACATGCATATGTATGTGCGTGTATATATACAATATATATACTATATATGTTTGCTTCTGACCTGAAGAAGAGAGGTTCACTCTCGAAAGCTTGTCTTTTATATATTTTGTTAGTCCAATAAGAAAGGTATCATTGCACACTGCAATACTGCGTTTTTGTCTTTTTTGACATCTTGTCTACTGGACTAATACGGCTTACCCATTCATATTGCACTATATATAGATATATATATACATTGTAGGGAACCAGTCTCAATGTAGAGGCAAACTCGCAGTCTCTTCAACAAAAATGCCAGCTTTAATTCCAGATAACAAACGTTACCATCACCTTAGCTAAGCAGATAAGTCAGAGCTTTCCATTGGACAATAGGTTTAGATTCAGCAATGTTATGTCCCCCCAAAAACGAGGGCAGCTGTCCACCTGAATATATTGAATGACCAGGTTTTTCCACCAATGGATTTTTTCTTCCCTGATGGCACAGCCATATTTCAAGATGACAATGCCAGGATTCATCGGGCTCAAATTGTGTCAGAGTGGTTCAGGGAGGATGATACATCATTATCACACATGGATTGGCCAACGCAGAGTCCGGACCTTAACCCCATTGAGAATCTTTGGGATGTGCTGGAGAAGACACAGTGGTCCGACTCTCCCATCATCACTACAAGATCTTGGTGAAAAATGAATGCGACTCTGAACAGAAATAAATGTTGTGACATTGTATAAGCTTATCGAAATGATGCCACAATGAATGTGTGCCGTAATCAATGCTAAAGGCGGCCCAACAAAATACTAGAGTGCGTGACTTTTTTTGGGCCAAGCATATATATATATATATATATATACAGTATATATATTATATACAGTATATATATAAAAGAAAGAAATAGATATCTGTACATGGAAACAGATAGAAAGATGGAAATAGAAATCTGTACATGTGTAATCATTTTGAAGTCAAAGAAAGTGAAGAAAGTGTGAATAAGGAACAATTGATCAGTGCCACCCAGTGGCAACATTTCAGAATACACTTTTACAGTTGAAGTGTAAAAACTACAAAAAAAAATAAAAATATTAATTGGATTTATTTTTCCCCCCCCAATCATAGAGGCTCAGCATCACATATGGGTGTTACCTAGGATGCCTGCATGCAAATGCAGCCTGCCTAGGAATACCCACTAGAATGACATCCACCATTAAGGCATTTTGATATTTGCTTAAAGCATCCGAAGAGCCACCCCTCTGCTTGCATCAAGGTTGAGTATTGCCTGAGTTTCATAGAGGAGCCCGGAGTACCAGTAATGATGTCACTGGGTCTAAAATAAAGATTGCAATGAACATGGAAAGGTTTTATTTAAACATTTCATTAACATGTTGATGGGGAGAACCAGGGAAGGCCAAATATAAGCAAATCAAACTTCAGATTTAATGCGACCCAAAGAAAGCCTTCAAAAATGTAGACTAAAGTGACTAGATAGCACAAAGCACATAGTCTGAGATTCTATTCCTGTGCCGACTGTTTCTTGGTGTAATCCTGGATGGCCGCCTGGAAATGTTCTGTAGTGTTCAGTTCTGGTCTGAACAGAATGATATAACATTTTGGAACAAAGTAACCAATGAGAATCCCTAAAACACTGAAAAGGACAGCACACACATTGACCGCTGCAAGGTATTTCCCTTGATAGACAATGTAAGTGGTGAAGAACGCAATCCAGGAGAAGAAGTAGACCAGTAAACTGAATGAGATACACTTGGCCTCGTTATAGCTCGCTGGTAAATCTTTCCCCATGTAACAGAAGATGAAACATATCATGCAGAGGAACCCGATGTAAGTGATTTCAGCAATGGAGCCTACAGACACCGTCTCAGAACATTTCAGTATGATCTGATCTGGGTAGGTGGAATAGTCTGCTGTAGGCCTTGGTGGCTTCACCGCAATCCACACAACAGAGATCAGAACCTGAATGGCGGTGCTGACAGCAATGAAAATATCCGAGCCATTCTTCTTCACCCACAAGTCGTATAGTTTTGGCATAAGTGAGGACATCTTGAAAATGCACACGATCTGAAAGACGTGGACCAGGATGCAGGAGAAGCAGACAGTGAAACTCAGGGCAAAGATAGGTTGCTTCACTATACACGTGACAACCTCCGGCTTGCCGAAATAAAAGTACAAGGTGAGACAAGAGAGTGCTAAGGACAATAACATCCCCAAACACATCTTCCCTCCTGCTGATTTCACTACAGGAGTGCTCAGATTCATTACAAACATGGTGGCTGTAGCAGTGATTACAAGTATCAGCAATGTGATGACAGACAGAAGGATGAGGGATAATGGGTCCGTCCAGGAAAGATATTCCAAAGTTCTATTGTAACAGCTGTCACTTCTCATTGGAGACCACTGGTCAGATCCACAAGGTTGGCAGGAATAAAGATCTGCAGAACAGAGGTAATTTGTATTATTTTTAGATTAAATGCTGTAAATGAATGAAAAGTAAATTAGAACTTATAGGGGAGGCTGAAGATACAGTATATGAAATGTAACCTTGGCACTGAACAGTGAAAAATCAGCTTTTAAAACTGCAGGAAAGGAAGCACTCAGTGCATCTCATTCAAACTGTCAGACTTTAAAAAGTTAAAGTATATCATAATGCATTACTTTCTTTTAAGGTTTGCATACAGTAAGGAATGGTTAAAGACCCCCTTCAGGTTTATTTATTTTTGCTTTCCATGTCCCATGTCAGATTTTCCTTCACTTTCTGTTTTGGGATGCAACAGGAAGTGAGAGGCGATCTCTCCAAAGGAAAGGAAATCCTTTTTAAGACAGCTGTGTCTGTTCTTGTTGGAAGATTTACCCTCTTTCCTTGTTCCGTGACTAATCACATTTTTTTTCAATCCCTGTGAGGAAGCTTATCAGGGTAAATGTATTATCAAGTGCAGTCAAGTGTTGATTTCAGGTGACAACATGGTTAGTGTTTCTCTGGAATCATATGTCTTCTGTTTTGGTCTTATGTCTACACAACGGCATGTTCAGATTTTTGTCACTGTATCCGTCCACCTCATTGATGATCGTCCTCTTTCTCTTTTCCTTTCAATGTTTCCAAGCATAATTTTCTTATCCGGTGAGTTGGTTCTTTTTCTTATAATATGTTCAAAGTAAGACAGCTTCAGCCTAGTCATCTGCGCTTCCAGTGAAAGGTTGGGCTAGATTTGTTGAAGGATCCATATGTCTGTTTTCCTTGCCGTCCACCATATTCCTAGAATTCTTCACCAACACCAAAGTTCAAAGGCAACAATATTTTCCTTCATACTTTCCATCTTCATTTTCCAGCTTTCACAAACATAGAGAGTGACATTTGTGCTTGTAGACACATCAGTACTTTGGAAGAACTTTTCTAGGGCTTTCATGCTAGGTCTGCTAAGTCTGAGTTGCAGTTTTGGGATGTTGGTTCCTTTGTTGTTAATTGAGCCAAAGTGAAAGAAGCTTTCGACAATTTTTATGTCAATACCATCAACTTTGAAGTTAGCTGTCTTTATTGTTGTCAGAATGTTAGTTTTCTTGATTTTTAGCTGACATCTTTGATTATGAGGCTCTTGAGGTCCTCCACATTTTCAGTTATGAACATAGTGTCATCAACACATTGAAGATTGTTGATGTTTTTTTCACCAGGACAAATAGGTGAATCTCCCCAATAGGAGGCACAGACAGCAATAAAACCATAACATAGGTTCTAACTAGACATGTGCATTCGGATGATCCTGCAAATCAACAAAATTCAGTTGATTCGGCGGTTCATCTGAATCCGAAATAATTAATTGAAATTAAATAATTAATTTAATATATGCCCGAATATACTAAAACGGGCATTCATTATTTTGTTACCCCCCTCCGATCCTGCATCGCTGACTGGAGGAACGGACGGAGAAGGGGGGGGCAGGCTAAGGATGGCCTGCCGCTAGATGGGCAGAGCCCGCTGTCAGTCAACCAGCTAGGGTGGATCTCGACAGTATTGTCGGGATTCGTCCAGGCTGCAGTATATAGTGGGCTATTGCTTGCTAAATACTGAGCTTTAGGTCAAGTGAGGAAGTTAGTAAATGTCCTTCTGTGACCCTATAGAGAACTGTGGGATAAAAATGTTACCCCATAGTTCTCTTTTAAATTATCCCGAATGAAATAAAAATGGCTTTATAGACACTTCAAGCTGGCCACAAACCAAGGAAAGTAAAACAAAAACAAATTACCACTTGTATTAAGAAAGGTCATTGCTGGGCAAGGAAAACAATTGAAACAGCAAACGTAGGAGCCAGTTTGCACCCGTCTCTCTCCTTTCCCACATTCAGTAGAACAAAACGATTCCGGAACCTATAAATCATAATAAAGTTAGCTACAGATAAGCTTCAAAGTGGGTTGAAAAGCTATGTATGCCACTTTTTGGGTGAACGTTCCATTTTTTAAAAATACAATTTTATTATGTCTTTTCACAATAATAGAAGACCATTGAGTATGAGAAGGATTACATATAGTAAATATACAACGATGACAAGTAATATGGGTTAGATAACAGATTACACTGCAGTCCAACTTACAGTATTATTGCAGGACTCTCAAAAAGGAGTGTGGCTAATATAAAGGTCCTTAAATGAATTTCTTATATTCTGTCCAGTTGTACTAACTCAAATAATTGGAAAAAGTGTGAATGGGAAGTAAGTAAGTGATGAGCAGTAAGAAGAAAGATGAGAAAGAAAAGAGCAAAGACAAAAGAAAGACCAGTGAGGAGCATCAGCTGAGGAGGGCAAGGCAGTGCCGCAGCACTATTACTGTAGATAAGGTGCCAAAGTCAGTGGGACCGGTAAACATGATCCAGACACTCCAAGTCAGTAGCATCACTAGGAGGGCGCGGGGGATGCCATCCGCAACGGGTGACATCAGCAAAGGGGGTGACACCAAAATGACTGACCTCTGAAAAGTCAGGCACTCGGTCTTGGACTCAGAGTCCGACAGCTGCACAAGAGAGAAGGGGACCCGGCAGCATACCTAATTCCGCCAAATGAAGGTCCCCTCCTCTCTGTACCAGCACCCATCACCAAGATGGCTGCTGGCAGTTAGGAGCGCGGGATGTCATTACGCGCATGCGTGATGACGTCCCAGTGGGTGACACCCGGTGGCCGCTCTGGGTGACACACAGCCTGGGGATGCCTCTGCTCCAAGTAGAGGTGTACCCTTCAAACCTGTCATGAAGAGGAACAATCAGTTCATCCATCCGTTGCAGTTGAGTCAATTCAGCAAGTCGTTCTTTAAGAGTGAGGGAGATAGAAGTGATCTCCAGTGTTTAGGGATCATGCCATTAGAGAAAAGCGCAGTAGACCCTTTTTGATGTTTGGGATAGAGGTGGGGAGCAAGGGAACTTTTGTTCTTTTAATGCCTATTTTAATGCTTTTCCCTTTCTTTGCTTAATGTCCATTTATAAAAAAAAAAACCTACACGGAGTTACTATGGTTACTATGACACTATGACAGTGGCAAATTTAAATTTAAAGTTCAATCTCCTTATATTTTGAATTCCCTCGTTCTTCCTTTACCCCGTTATCAACATACTAATGAAAACATTAAATAGAACCTTTCCCTTTTCATTAGATACCTTATTTTAGACCCAATGAGCTCATCATTTAGTCTCTGTGCTTCTCTATATAATGCAGGCAGATCAGGGCTGGTGGGAGAGGCCAACAGGGTGCTGTACCTAGCTTCCTAAAAACATCACAGCCCCCTGCCTTATTACTCCTCTCAAAAGCCATCAGACCTGATACAAGCAGTGGGCGGGTATGTGGGAGGAGTTATGCAAATGTCATTATGCCTTGATGGGTGTACGGGAGTCTGGAGGAGTGGGCATTCCTAGACAGGCTGTATTTGCATGCAGACGGGGTTTGTGCGCTAAAAAATTCAGAATGGTGGAAAGAAGCTTTTACGGCAGAAGAGACTTAAAGGAGAACTATGAGGTGAGTGCTTTTCACTCACCTCATAGTTCTAGCCGACCTGTGACAATGAGACTGTCACAGGTCGGCTCAGTAGATCGGGAGGTGAGCGAACACATACCAGCGTTCGCTCACCTCTCGATCCTGTCACGGCCCTCTGCCGTGACAGGGGAGGGGCTGGATTCCCCCCTCCCTGCTCCGATACGCCAGCGCTGACTGGCGGAACGGACGGGGGGGGGGGCGGGTACAGCTGGCTCTGCCTCTAGATAGGCAGAGCCAGCTGTCAGTCACACTGGGCGGATCCCGGCATAATTGTCGGGATACGCTTGAGCTGCGGCATCTCAGTATACCGTGAGCTGTATACTGAGCCTAGGGTGACGGGAGGACGCTAGTTTGTGTCCTCCGTTACCCTAAGGAGAACTATGGGGAAAAGCCCTAACTGCATAGTTCTCCTTTAAACAGTCTCTTCTGCCGCAGACAACCTACTGATCAGCAGTTGTTTTGGCTTACTCAACCTACTCTACAGTGCTGATCTTGTTCCATATATGATAGATTTGGCAACCACTCTTGAATACGTTTGGAACATGATGTTTCACTGACTCACTGTACTATTCTTGGTGTTCCACGGCAGTCTCTCATTGAGTTGCAGCCTCTGTGTGGTTTTACTGTAAGAGCCGACGACTCTGAAAGTTGGGCTCTCTCTGATCCAAGACCACATGACTATGTCATAGCCCATGGCCGGGTCTCCGTTAGCGTCAAAAGAAATGGACTGATTGTAGAGAGTGAAATTCACCTTCTTCACATGCTGCAGGAGCTGCCAATTGTAAATAATGGCCAACATTGTTATACATTCCAAATTATGTTACAACTGATTCAACAGGATCATAGAAAGTGACAACCTATATTACACAGCTCAGAACAGTTACAACTACAAATAGGTCTTTTTGTAGGTGGGGGGTGAGGGTGTACTGGTTACCCCTTTACAGCCCCAAAGGTCACCCACCATTATGCAAAGTGCACCAAACACTGATGCCTTCTATAATTCTATGTATCCCCTGTGCTCGGTAATTTTTCTACCTGTGTAGGTAAAATAGGAAAAATTACCTTGCAGTGGATCAATCATAATACTGTGGTTAGAGCTATGTGTTTTACTTAGCAGTATCTGTAAAAAGAATGTTTAATGTTTGTTAATTGCTGGTATCATTTCCTGCTGATGCTGTCACCTGCAGGGATACAATGTAACAGAAACATGAGAAAAGTTGCCAACTGGAGGCAGACATTGAAGCCTACCTGCAGAAGATGGTGGCACAGAGAGAAGACAATAATGTGTGCAGTACTGCAGAATGCTCTAATTTCTGATCATTTTAGGTCTCCTTGGTAACCATAAAATACCATATAAAATAATGTAAAAAGTATGTCACATTTATGCCAAGACTGTGATGCTTCCTATCTGCTCCTGCAATTCATTTCAGAAAAATAATGCAAGTTGAACTTATGTCCCTTCTAATCCAATAATGTCACAATCCAATGTCCAATCCACTCATTCACTCCCTTTTTACCCATTTTCTTGACTATAGAAGCTCCTTTCTTGTTGGCCTTCCTCTACACAGGCTATCCCCCTTCAGTTTCCCATGAATGCTGCTGCCATACTCAACCACTTTACCCACCTCTCAGTGTCTTCCACCCCACTCTGCCAAGTCCCTCTACTGGCCTCCATTCCCCACCCCTCTCTGCCAATCTCTCCACTTGCTTCCATGCCTTGTCCCTCTGTCTGCCAGTTCCTTCACTGGCATCTATCCGCCACCTATCTCTGCCAATCCCTTCACTGGCTTCTATCCCCTGCCCCTCTCTGCCATTCCCTCCACTTGCTTCAATCCTTCGCCCCTGTCTGCCAATCCCTCTACTGGCCTCCATTCCCCACCCCTCTCTGCCAATCTCTCCATTTGATTCCATGCCTTGTCCCTCTGTCCCTGTCTGCTAGTCCCTTCACTGGGTTCCATCCCCTGCTCCTCTCTGCCAGTCCCTCCACTGATTTCCATCCTCCACCCCTCTCTGCCAATTCCTCCACTGACTTCCATCCCCCACCCCTCTTAGGCAATCCCTCTCCTGGCTTCCATCCCCTGCCCCTTTCTGCCAATTCCTTTCCCCTTCCCTTTCTCTGTTAATTACTCTACTGGCTTTCATCCCGCACCCCTCCCTGCCAATCCCTCCACTACCACTCAATAGATGCACTTACCTGCCACGGATAGTAAGTGCCATTACTGCATTGTCCAGATCTACAATTCAGAAGTCCATGCAGGCCATGGGCTATGGCATACGCTGCCGCATAGATGTTAAAAGAAGCTGACATGGTAGCCTGGCCAGGAATGGACATGTTCTGCAACGTGAATGACCGACATTTGTCACAAACCTGGTTACAATTATATTCACTCACATCTTGGGATTTGAAGGAGCTGACATAGGCTGTCTCAAAGTCTAAGAGTTTGGGAAAGTAGATTTCGCTTACTGAGACCCCAAAAATGGTGCCAATAGACTGTATATTCGGCAGAGCTGCAATTTCAGGATAAACTAGCCAATCTTCACTGCCGATCCAGACCCTTCCGGTGATGTTGGCCTTAATCACTTCTTCAAGTAATATCTGAGCACTATTATATGCAGAAAATACCACAATTACCCCAACATGAGTCTGGACTATATTGTCCACCATCTTCTTAATATAGGTTCTGTCGTTGGTATTTGGGATTATCCCATAGTAAGGCACACAGATGCCATTTTTAGTAGTCAAGGCGATTAGGTCCTGTAACCCTTGTCTGCCATAGACATCATCACTGCCGACCATGGCCACCCATGTCCAATTAAACGTCTTCAACAAACTCAGCATAATTTGAACTTGAAGATTGTCGCTGGGAATCGTTCGAAAAAACGAGGGGTACATCTGTTTCAGACTAAGGTGTTTATTTGAAGCAGAATAACTTATCTGGAATGCAAAAGTCAAGATCATTCATTGAAATGTACATCCCATTAACACATTTTATGCTGGGACTTTTCAGATACTTTATAGAATATCTTCAGTTCTACAGTAAACGCCTCATTATCCGGCATTCAAGCAACCGGCACTCTCCAAAGAGAGAACTTTTTCTCTCAGGTCCGCTCCTCTGCTCAATGGGCCGGTGCAATAGCCACCCTGCTATTGTCGATTGCAATTTTAAATAGCCCATAGCAGTCTTGCTATTGCTCCCGCCCACTGACCGCTGTTTACATTCACCCGTCGGCTGCAGAATCTAGCCTCTAGCTAGCATATAAATGGGGCCGGTGAAGGGGAGGGGGGTAGAAGGGGGAGGGGATTGGGGGGTTGTGCTGCGGGGGCTTGCTTGAGTGTTACTATTAACTCTTAAGCAACCAGAAACTACAGTTATCCGACATTACTGATCCCTGTGGGTGCCGGATAACTAGGAGTTTACTTTATTTGATTGTTAAAAAAACAACATATGTTATTAATGAATAATTTAAAACAAGTAGTTGCTATGCTTGTAAAATCAAACATCTCTTATTTCTTTTTAGGACACCTCACGACACCTTACAACTCATGTTAATTCCTTCCAGTTTCCATATCTCCAGCTTTGAATCAACCCCACTGATAGCGCTAACCCCCTCCCCCATTTACATGAGTCTTCTGGCTAGTTTGGTGACCTCACGGGTCCTTCTTCTTCTACTCCTTCTCTGCTCATAAGCTGTACTTAAACTGTCCATACACAGATTTCATTTTGGCCATTTTCGACTGAATCGGACAAAAAGGTGATTTGTGGGTGGACCTACTGGCACCACCAGACTTGACAAAAGTTCATTTCCCAATCACCTTTTGTGAAAAGAGTTGGGTGGACAATTGTTGGCTGAACAGTGACTGTGGCCAATCACATCTGCTATGGCATGGTTGGGGTATCGAGTGATTTTTCTCATTAAGCCAGCTTTACTCCTGCACTAAACAGTGCTCACATAGTGAGGTATGGGTACCAGGGGGCATGTCCATGACAGCCTGGGCTCAGAGGAAGTTAATCTAAAGCAATTTCAACATTTTGAAGATGACAATAGCAGCCAAACAGATGCAGTTAACCTCCAAGAGACTGCTTGCTACGGGCAATACCGTTCTTATTCCTAACTAGTTCTTATAAGGAGACTAGCACAGATGGTTCTTACCTCAGGTACAAGGAGCAAGGACATAATGTTGGCAGTCACAAAAGAAAAACTGCTGCTGTATGGTCCGATCAAGGCGATGATGTTTGGTTTGTAGTTGGTAAAGTTGTTCTGAATCTTGATATAGGGCTGTGAGCATTGAGAAAGCATTCTCAAAGTTCCATATATGTTGGCGGCTTCCGAGCAGGTGTCAAAAACCTCGTAGCCCAGTGTAATATTGGGGAGCAGTATGGTTGAGTTATTGATCTCCTCAATGGCCAACCTCATTGCCTGAAGGAAGTGAAACCGAAGGGAAATAAAGGTACCCCTAAATTTAAAAAAAAGTGAAGGGGGTTTGTCAACAAGTTACCAACAGAATCAGACACATATTTTATGTAAATAAGGCATATATATCTATTTGTTGAACAGTACTTTTGGATGCTGGCTAACCCTATGCTTGTAGTCCTAAGCTGTTGACTTCAACATAATAAACATGTGACTTTCAACAGTTTTTCATTGAAAACACACGAAAGCTAAGGGGTTGATTTATAAACCGTTCGCATGGTGAACAGCTCTGAGAATGAGGTTTGCAGCTCATTATGGCCACTATATGGAGTTAGGGAGCATAGGCATTGCTATGCACCTCGGCTCAGTCTAATGGCCGTAATGCACTGCAAATCTCATTCACAGAGCTGTTTCTTGCTTGGGTGAAAGCTATGCAAATCTTGAGTGAAAACATTTATAGACAGGTATAGGTAAACCTAAAAACTAAATTCCATAAAAAAACAAGTTAATTTAGTTTCAAAAGTCATTTTCAAAATTCCTAAATCTTTCGTTAAATAATTCCTGGTGGTCCTGCCATGAATGTCCTTGTTCAGGCACTTCCTGTTATAGGGTGACGACATTTAGTTTTTCCTTACAGCATTAAGTGGGAGCCATGGGGGACACACAAAGAGAGACCAGCAACCACCAACGGATCCCAACTAAGATTGTGCCTAGACTCTGCTTCCCATTCACAGGCTACCCAACAAATGATTATGATATTAATGGGGTCTGTTCCTTCCACACAAACAGGCTGGTGTGCAGGTTTGATCATTTGGGTGGCTTGTGTCAGATGGTACCTCTGCTGGCCTCCCTGTGTGTTCCCCGTGGCTCCCACTTGGTTGGTGGAGCCTCCCTTATTGGTTCAGGAGGATCGATGTATGATCCTCACTTCAAACCTCGTCTACCCAATCTAGGTTCCCCGTTGGTTCAGGAGGGTCGATGTATGATCCTCACTTCAAACCTCGTCTACCCAGTCTAGGTTCCTGTTGGTTCAGGAGGGTCGGTATATGATCCTCACTTCAAACCTCGTCTACCCAATCTAGGTTCCCTGTTGGTTCAGGAGGGTTGATGTATGATCCTCACTTCAAACCTCGTCTACCCAATCTAGGTTCCCTGTTGGTTCAAGAGGGTCGATGTATGGTCCTCACTTCAAACCTCGTCTACCCAATTTAAGTTCCCCGTTGGTTCAAGAGGGTCGATGTATGATCCTCACTTCAAACCTCGTCTACCCAATCTAGGTTCCCTGGTGGTTCAGGAGGGTCGATGTATGATCCTCACGTTAAACCTCGTCTACCCAATCTAGGTTCCCTGTTGGTTCAGGAGGGTCGATGTATGATCCTTACGTCAAACCTCGTCTACCCAATCTAGGTTCCCAATGCAAAAGCGTGAAACCATATTGCAGCCACAATGGACTACAAGAGCACAGCTAAGGCAAAGATTGGAAGAAGAGACCAAGTCTAAGGACAAATAAATATTGATGTGTGGCATTTCTGTGCTTCTAGATGGTAGTTTGATGACAGATGTGGCTTTAGGGATGGATCTGATATTGATGTTATGTAATCATTTATTGATTTTTTGTTAATTCTTTATTTATTTTTTTTTTTCTGGAATAGTATACAGATTACAAAAAAGACAAGTTACAGAATACATAGCAGCATGTGTCAATGGTGGAAATACATTCAGAAGCACAGCAACACCATATAGGAGCTAAGCAATGGCAAAACCCATATATCATTTTATCAACAACCTGCCTAGGGGTCTTCGCTTTATACCAAAGGTTAAAACGCTTCTCATTGCATACCAGAGACAATGGGAGGTATGTCTTGTATATTGTACTTCACTCCATCATATGGTTCTACCATCACCCAGGGCAGCAGGCGGTGTACCGATGATCCGTATTGTTGCTGAGCATTGTCATGTAATCCCTGAGGCAAGTGCACATTACTGCTATAATAAAGAGTAATCAGAGAAGTTAAGAGAGAAAGAATAGGCAAGAAGAGATTAAGGAAGTCAGTGAGCAGTGTTAAATCAGAGAGGTGGGTGGAGAGAAAAGAAGGGGGGGGGGTCTCTGTAAACATTTTATAATGGGTATTTTTTTTAGAAAAAGGCAATAGTGTGTAATACAAAGTGCTTTAGCAAACTAAATGGCATTGAGTTAAGGTGTCCATCTACTTTAAAGTAATATGTGTCATTTACAAAGTTGACGATCTAATTCCCATCCCTTACACAGCCAGTTTATCAAAACGAGGTGTAAAAGCTGCCTCAAAAGTACAAACAAAAGAGTTCTAACCTGTGACAAACGTCAATCAGCGGTATGGATCTTGTTGAGACGTCTTCTATGTCGTGGACTTTGAATAATCCTCCAAGGACGAAATCTCCAGGTGAACTAAATTCAGTATTATATGTCACGTCTCCACAATCCGACGCGAGGCAGAGCTGAAAGAGTGAATATAAGAAAGGCATACGCATCATCATCATCATCATGATATTGTGCTTCAAGGTGGTCAGCGTCACGTGTCTTCTGGAAGGGGTGACCGGCAGCACAGCGAATGAACTCTGGTCCCTCTGTCTTTTTATAGAACTGTTTGTTTTCCTGGAGGTTGGAAATCTATATAACATGTTGCACATCCTTCCACAAAATCAGCATAGCGTATTTGTATATGCGCAAGCTTTTGGCTTCCATGGCAACGGGAATAAGGAGGTGTTCCACAGAGGCAAATGGCATCCAAAAACACTACGTAGTCTTTCAAATAAGAGTTTAAGAGTGAATTAACGGGATGTTTGGCTGTGGAGACAGACCTGCGTCAATTTAAATTGCATAAAGGCCATGTTTTTCTCAGTACTAAAAGTCTATGTAATCCTTTAAAATTTGCTAAAACAGTGTGAATTATAAGAAATTTGCTTAGCTTATTACCAGCTTTGCTTTGCAACCCCTTCCTGTCTCCATGAACAGCAGCGATGGCGTCATGGCATTACTCAGGGTGGGTTTCCTGATGGTGACCACAGTGTGACCATGTCTGTGTAATGTGTTTTAGAAATGGCCACTAGTCTCCTCTGAAAGTTCATGTGACAGGGTGACAACGCAGGAGCATAATTTGGAGACAGGTACAAAACGTTTAATATTCAAACGAAACCCATCGCACTCCTGACCGAATAAAAACCCTTTGGAGTTGGGTGGGTGCAAAGAGTGACTACGAATGCCTACGTGAATCAATAAATGAATGTAGAAAAGGTCACTCGGACTCCAGACTAATTTTCAGTCAATGTTTATTGACCTCTCATCGTGTCACATTGTCAAGAGACGTTTCGGAACCACGCAAGCAAACAACAAGTGACTGAAGACAGAACTGCGTGGTTCCGAAACGTCGCTTGACAATGTGACACGATGAGAGGTCAATAAACATTGACTGAAAATTAATCTGGGGTGTGAGTGACCTTTTCTACATTCAAAGATAAAACGTTGTCACCCTATAAGAAGAAGTTCCTGAAAATTGGCAAGTAGGACAGGATCACCAGAGATCAAAGAATATTTAATAAAAGTTGACGATTTAAAGATATTGAAAATGGCTCGGGGTGGCTTAGTAAGTTAGCACTTATGCCTTGCAGCAATGAGGTCCTTGGTTCTGATCCCAGCCAGGACACTATCTGTATGGAGTTTTTATGTTCTCACTCTGCTTGGGAGGGTTTCCTTCAGGTACACTGGTTTCCACTAGCATTCCAAAGACATGCTGGTAGGTTAACTGGCTGTTGTTTAAATCAGCCCTAGCATGTGTGTGTGGGTCCAAGAATCCCAACTGCAGCCTCTTATAGCAGATCCTGGTAACGCTATTGATTTGCTAATGCAGCTCCTTCATGCATTTCACACATGGAGCCACAGAGAAGTGAGGTTCCAAGGTTAGGAGTGCACCAATGATTGCACTGTGGTCCTAGTAGTAAGGAAAGGCCAAATGGCTTTTTAGTTTATTTTATTAATATGTAACATTTTATATCAGGTCTTAGTGATTGGGTTTACATTGATTTTACAGGCCAGCACCATAAAAAAATAACAGTTCAATTTTGGTGGGTTTTTTCTTTCAAAGGGTTCCTGTACTTCTTGAAGGCTCAGGTGGTGAGATTTTTCTGAAGTAGTTTGCCTCTACCCCTTCTAAGCCCATATGGATGGTTTCATTCTCTTATAGATTGATTTCAATACAACAATTGTTTACTCAGCTAATTCATAATCCACTGGGTGAGAATAACACCTTCCCTTGGCTTTGTCATAGTCATAACCTTGAGTTGAAGCTGGGCTAACTGGTGGAGTCATCTCACTAGAGTTCTTGAGAAATATAAGAAGCCAAGATGCTTCATTCTTCCAGCAACAAGGAAAGACTAATATATAAATTTTGGGTTGAGTTGGATTTTAAACTGATGAGGTTTAGTCTAGTTACAAATGTATTCCATGTTGACCATACAGAGCCTTGCTCACTCCTGTGCAACAGCTTTAAAGTGATTCTGTTTCTTCCCCCCTAAAAAAAAATTCCTCACAAAGAAGAATTGCTCCCTGCAGTAGAAGATCTTTATCTCTCTGGCTGGTGACAGGTCTGAGCTCCGCTGTCTTCAGATGCTAAAGCCTCCAGGGTAAGTCAATTCATCCCCACACAGCTACCTCCTCATGTATCACTTCTCCCTTCCTTTTAGATTGTAAGCCCTCAGGGGCAGGGCCCTCCTTACCATCTTGTCTTGAATTGTATTGTGATTGTAATGTCTTATATTGTAAAGCGCTGCACAAACTGTTGGCGCTATATAAATCCTATATAACAATAATAATAAGTCTTCAGCATTCAACACTTACTGTGTTGAATGTCTGTGTGCCTGTGTCCTATACCTCATACTGTGGTCCCCCCTACAGGCCCCGACATTACTACGGAGCACAGCATTGATGTAGGGGCTGATGGGAGGAACCATTGATTGCAGTGGAGGACGCCATTATTTGACACTCCCGGATGTTTTGAATGCTAGAGATGTTGCCGAAAGCTTTCGCGGCAATGGAGTTCTGACTTTTGGCCCAATGGACATATAAATCCAATGAGAGTCCACCATCAATAGCACTCCAACAGTGATATCACTTTGAGAAAAACAAATTGTGCCGAGCTAATAATCATACACATCTAATACATTGAAACATATATAAATTAATCGTATATATGAGCCTTCAAACAAATGAGGCATAAAAAATATCTACACACAAAAACAGCAATAAAGACAAAAAGAGTGGGGGGTGGATTGATTGTAATTATATTGTAATAATTTACCTGTGCCTAGGGGAGGGGGAGGGTTATGGTCAGAGGGTTAGTTATTGGACCTTGCATGGTCCTTTACGGTTGTTGGCATACGTTATGCCGTAATGTATACACTGTTGCGTATGAATGGGGTGCTATGTTGGTGCCCGAAGGTTACTGTAATGTAATTGTTTACTATGCAAAATGAATAAAAAGATTTTTCAAAAAAAAAAAAAAAGACAAAAAGAGTCCCAGAAAAAAACAAAAGCAAACAATGGTGATTGTGCAAGAAAATTCCTCAAATGATTTGCAGCCAATCTGCATGTAACTCTCAGGTAAGGATAATCACACAATGCAGGCAGACCTTCACCTCCACCCAGTGAGTGATGACAACAAGTGAGTGCTCACCTGGGGAGGTAGACCCACAGAGCTAGGTCAAATGCGATTTTTCCCTTCTTAATGGGGGAGGGAAGCCCATGCACAGAAAAGGCGATAAGGTCTCCTCAGATCACAGGTAGCAGCATAAATCCAGGAGGAAAGAGAAAAAGGACAAGGACACAGTGCGTAACGTCCAATAAAATGCAATTTATTAAATAAAAAATGCGTCCTCACAATGGTGTAAACAGTACAGGCATTGGGTATTGCTGGATCAAACCAGCAAAGCAAATGGCAGCAAGGTAATGCAAAAACCTGTTCGTCCGGCTCAGCTCAGTGCAGTGACATCTGAAGCTGTCAGCAGCAGTGATATAACTTTGTCTTTTATTGATGAAAGTCTATCATATCACAAAGAAAACAACGTTTCGGGGCTGCATAGGTTCCCTTCATTAGGCAAACAATGTGATGATTCATTTGATGATGGTCAGGAACAGGGGTGTCCCGGGGCTGGGTGACACCCGGAGCGGTTACCGGGTGTCACCCCGCCGACTCACCACTGCACATGCGCGTGACGTCACCACGCGCGTGCGCAATTACGTCATCGCGCACGCGCGGCACTCTTCAGATACTTGCCGGCGGCCATCTTGGTAATAGACGCCGGCAGAGAGAGGAGGAGACAGTCACCCGGCGGGATAAGGTATGCCGCCGGGTTCCCTCCTCTCTCCTGATACTGTCGGGCGTTCGGTCCATGCCCGAGCGCCCGACTTTTCAGAGGGAGGTGACACCAAAATGACTGTTAGTCATTTTGATGTCACGCCCTCCAATGGTGTCACCCGGGTGCGGGCCACACCCCCCGCACCCCTCTTGTGACGCCACTGGTCAGGAGTGCGATGGGACAAATACAAGAGTCCACCATCAATAGGACACGAAGTGAGGCAAATCCTCCCCAACGTGGACCTGTGTCCAATAAAAACAATTTATCAAATATTCCACTTTTAGGAGAATGTTAACAACTACATTGTTATTTGATACTGTTATGTACACTCCAGTGCTAAAAGAAAGATGTGGTTAGGTAAGATAGACGGGGCATACAAGATAGATAAGGTTAGGTAATCGCAGGGCAGCAACTGTTAGACTGCAAGTCATCTCCAACGTCTGTTAAAATGAAGTAAATCTAAATACGCGGGGCAAATATACATTATTCATCAATAAGCCAATTGTAATATTTTAACTATGACCATTCAGGTTCTTGATTAAGCCCATCATGACTGGTTCTCACTAAGTTCTGTAACAGGAAGGCCATAGCTTATTCGGCACATCTTAAAATGGACGCCTCTTATATATTGGACGTGGCACCACACTCCTATGAGTCCAGAGTGGCCTGATGATGCACCCCTAGGGAGCGAGTCCTTGACACCCTTGACTCACGTGCCCTGGGCTCTGGGCGTCATTCAACGTGGAAGAGGAGTGGCGCTGGACAGCTTGAGTGTTGACTCTTGAAGGGAGGGACATGGAGAGGGGATGAATATTGTAACAAAAGATGCATTTTATTCTGTGACTCCTACAGGAAAATCAATAACATTAATAATACTGATGTTGAGCTTTAAAGCTTTATTTATAAGAACAAAGTTAAGCTAGTGCATATTTATGTAAACATATGGAAATCTCTACATACATATATTATAGTACAAATATAAGGTTCAGTACTTATGGTGCTCCACTGCACAATCCATCAGTTACATAACATCTACAGTCACGCTAACCTCATCTGCATAATTCCTGTAGAGGAGATTCACAGAATACTTGAGCAGAAAAAAAGGCAAATAACTTACACCATGCATTTAAATGTTGGTAAGGTAAGAAAACAAAGCAGGTTTGCTGAAGCTGCAAGCCCCCACCATGAGGTGGGAGGGAAGCATGACCTATTCCATACAGAGAAAGCAGCTGACACTTGGATTTCATTTATTACATATTACAGTATATCTCCCTATCCAAAACCTTTTATTAGTTTTGGATAGAGCAGGGAAGGGTAACCCGCAATAACCCCTCCCCCCCCTCACCCCCCACAACCCCCCCCCCCCCCCCCGCGTCCCATTGTGAAAACTAACCCTTTAACCCCTGTCCTGGAAACACAACAGGAAGTAAAAGGAAACTGCACCAAAGTGAAGAGAAAAGTTCTCTTATGCAGTTGTCACTGAAACAGGTTTCTATGTTGGACAGATTTACTCATACTTCCTGTTCTAGCTGCAATTGTCAATTTTGGAATTCCCATAAATTCCTGTCTTGACACAATGGTCACAAAGCTAGCTATATAAAAATAAAGAGATCTGTATATCAATGGTTTTACGCAAGATTCACATGTCATTTAGCCAAGATTGACACGCTTTCTAATGGAATCCTATGTGAAAAATGGGGGAAAGTTGAGTAAGGGCCCGTTCACACCAAAAACAGAAGGCAATTGTAATTCAATGGCGGGTCTGTTGACTTGCAATTGTACTTTCCGATTTTCTTCCGATCCATTGGGTTGTGACCTGTATTTCAACGGATGCTAACGTAAGGGCACCAAAAAATGATTGGGTGTGAATGGGGCTACTTTACACCGCTGCATTGTGTTGCGTTACAGTGAAAACAAAGTAGTGCATGCTACACAATGCATGCAACACAACGGAGCAGAGTAAACTGGTCCCATTCACACCCATTCATTTTTGGGGGTTACCTTCCATTGGCATCCGTCGACGTCCATAAAAAAAATGGATCACAATGGATCTGGTGTAAATTTGACAGGTAACCCTGCACAAAATTGATTTCTTTCGTTTTCATATTTCGGATCCGAAATTTGATTTGGTTCATTATTTGGTTTTCGGATCTGTCTGAATTTTGTTTCGGAACTGTGCCTGAAATGCAACCCCCCACAGACCAAAAAAACCCATCTGATTGGCCGGAGAACAGTCACATGTCCGACTTAGTTTCGTTTTGAATGAAATTCAGACGTAGGGATGCACCAATACTGTTTTTTCTGTATCAAGTATGGGTACCGATATTGTTTTTTTTTCTGTACTAACCGATACTGAATATTAATACCGTGTGCCCCGATTATCTAAAAGCTGGACAGAGGATCATGACCCGCCGCCCGGCTTCTTGATTGCCTGGGAAGCCGGTGATCTATCGAAAGAACACCGGCTTCAATTGCCTAGGCTGCCTAGTTTCCTGATCAATCAGGAAGCCAGGAGGCGGGTCATGAGGTGCCGCCCGGCTTCCAAAATGGTCAAGAAGCAAGGATGTGTAACAACAAGTGAAGCCAGCTTCCTAGCCAAACAGGAAGCTGGGGGGTGGGTCATAACCTGAATGGAAAGGAAGCCAGCTCCATGCTCCCTTGGAGGTCTCCTTCTGACTGGAAGTTCCGGTATTGGGGGTAAGTATCGGAGCATTTGGGCGAATACTCGGCATTGGTGCATCTATATTCGGGCTGATCCGAATTTTCCATAAAGAGCATTCGGATTTCTTCTCATTCAGCGTTAGAATTTGGATTCATCTGTAGCGCTCACCCCTGAAGGAGCCGCTGAGTATGAAATGGGTTCTCCTACCTGTGTGTTCCAGCCACCGGTCCCCTTTGTTCAGCAACAGCACACCGAAACTCACAGACAGAACGGACTCGAGTCTCAGGGTCTTTTGGGGTATTTATTTGCAGATTCAACAGGAGAGAGAGGGTTCAGGATCTGTAGGATGCCCTGGTGGATTCGTCTGAGGACAGCTTTCTCCCCTAGCAACAGCTAAGGCCGATAGCACTGTGATCTGGTCCCAGGGACCAGATCACAATAGTATTAGCGACACTGCGAACAGCCAGGAGGGTCCAGTAACTTATAATGGGAAGGTTAGCTATCTCTGGACTCAGGTAAGAACCGCTGGCTTCTTGTTCTAGAACAGATACCTGGAATAGGGTGAGGGATCTCTCTTGTGGGTCCCAGACGGACGCTCTCACCAGCTCCTCTGCGGTACCCTCGACAAAAAGACTCTCCCTCCGACCCAGCTTCCATCAGGTATTTTCCTCTTCAGGATCTGGAATCTCTGTGCCCTCAGCATCTGCAACTGCCAAGGAGCACTCCAGGTTAGTGGTAGTATCCTCTTAGAACAAGGCATCCAACACCTGCCACGTGCATGGGGCCCAAGCAAAGTTCCTAGGGAGTCCTAGGCCTGCAGGCCCCCAGCACCTGCCATGTGCTGAGGCCCAGGCCATTTGCTTGCATCACATAGGCCTCCTGAGGAGAGGCCCCAGGAGGGAAAGAGACCTCTGCACAGTGTCCCCAGACCTTTTATTACCTGCCCTCAACCATGCCTCTGAGTCATCCTACTCAGAGATTGGCTAGGGTCAGGTGCATAGGTGCATAGTCATAATCTGAGGATGGATCCTCCCTCACTGTATGCCAAGGCTCCCTTTTCCTCAGCAACAGGAGGAGCAATCAATCCAGCAGATTCAGGGACACCTATAGAATGCAACAAACTTTCTACGAATATCCATTCGGAACTAAACAGATTTTACATGTCTAGTGTAAGTGGGGCCTTTAATCTTGGGAGAAAACATGGATAACTAACCCCTATTTGACTTTTTTACATTTTGGACAATGTGGTGTTAATAGTTTGATATATGTAAGACTAGCAAGTAGCCGTTCATAGATAAAGAAATGGTGGAAGCGTTTGTTTTTAGAAATTTGGTAAATGTTTCCCTATACAGGAGAAGAGAAAAGATCCCAAACTTAGGAACTCACAATAAATCAATATAGATGAAATCATTTAAGATCATTTAATTACAATCTGGAGTGGAAAAGGTAAAATAATTTTCTTTGGTCCTCTTAGGGTTTACTATACCATAGGACTCAAAAACAAATCAGGATCCACAGGTCGGAATTGATAGTGACAGCCTTCCAAGTTCTTTAATTGACACTAAATGCAGGAGTTAAATCGTAAAAATGCATTCAAGTAAATTGAAGTGATATTAAACCGTTGTTTTTGTTTCTATTACTTGCTATGCAGAGAGAACCCACACTTACATGGTTTCTTTAAGTTGCTTTGCTTGAAGGTCCTTTGGTTGTTCCCCAAAACTGCTCTCCATCCCCCCCTTTTGTTGCGGGCGTCTCCTTCAGCTAGCTAGGAGACACCCATGCGTGCACGCTCCTGGGCTGTGACCGTGCATGACTATGTGCGTCCATAGACACAAACAGCCTGCAGCAAGCCACCCCTCTGTTCCCCCCACAACTCAGTCTGACTGATGGCAGAAGGAGCCTATGGCTGCTCTGCCCTCTGTCCCCACCCCCACAGCCAGAAAGTTCGGGGAACTGCGATCTTTGAATTCATAATGACACTGTCCTTCCTTCTGGAGGGGGGCTACATTTGTTCCCCATGGTCCCCGTGTGTGTTGTAAAGTAGTCACCGCACCAAGCTCACTCTCGGGATGGACTACAATCTCATGTTTAGTTTACTTATTTGTATTGAGATTGTAGTCCATCAGGGGAGTGAGCTTGGAGTAGTGGCTACTTTACAACACACACAGGGACCATGGGGAACAAAAGTAGCCCCCCTCCAGAAGGAAGGACTGTGTCAGCACCAATTCAGAGATGATTTGAGGATCTACAGCCGAGTGATACACAAATAAGATACATTTTTGTTCACAGTTAAGGTACTTGAATGCATTTTTAAGATCTGCTGAGTTTCGTCTCACTTTATTCTTCACGGAGACGTTGTGGGTTCTTGGCTTATTGACAGCCATCTTTAAAATGCACACAATGCGAATGCAATGGGCCATGATCAAGGATAAGAAGACAGTAGGATTAATGGAAAGATGCATCATCAAACAGTTGATGATACTTGGCTTGCAACAATACAAATGGGAATTAGGACACCATAGTCACCAGGGTCATTTTATATTGTGCCGATTTCATAACTCATATTATATTATGTAACACTCGTATCCCTCTACGGCCGGGTTCGGCCTCCGTCCGCGCTACTGCGCAGGCGCGACGTGCGGCTCATCCCACTCTCGGACGCGGTCCGTCTCAGTTACGGGGCAGGCGTGCCTCGAGTCTCCGCCCACTCACACGAGCCGCCGGCATAAAGCCGCCATCCACTGATTGATCGGCGTCCCACTATTGTTGAAGCAGGACGCTGATCAATGCAGCCTCCCCGTGCTCCACTCCTGGAACCAACCTGATCGAGGAAACCAAGCACCACCTGAAGCTCTTCCACACCAGGGAGAGACCACAAAGCGCAAGTACCTTGTCTATAGCTGTAGGGCTATACAAAGTGAACTGCCTATATCAAGTAGGATCACATTAGCTACTATCTACTCAAAGTGAATTGCATAGATATCAATGGAACTGGCACAGCACATCCTGAATCTCACCGAACAGATGGAAGCCCTCAACCTGAACGTTGGGGAACTCCGCACGGAAAATCAAACCCTGCGCGAGAGTCTCGCCCACAGGGTGCCGGAGGGGGCACCTGCCAGCGTAGGGCCAGAACCTACGGAAAGCCCTCCCGATACGTTTTCAGGAGACCGTAAGCAGTACAGTGACTTTTTGAACGCATGTAAGCTCTTATTTGAGCTGAGACCCAGGTCCTACCCCTCTGATCGGGTGACAGTACGCACCATGATCTCTTACCTACGGGGAGAGCCCAGGGCCTGGGCGAACACTTATCTGGAGACAGATGACCCCCTTTTGGAGTCTTACGAGGGGTTTATCGCCGCAATGTCCCAGCTCTACGACGATCCGGAGAAGCAGCTAACTGCAGAACATGCGATCAGAAATATCCAGCAAGGGAAAAGACATGTAGAGGATTATATTGCTGAATTTAAACGTTGGGCACGCCAGACTGAATGGAACAACGTTAGTCTGAGGAACCAATTCCGTCTGGGACTCTCGGAGGCCCTAAAAGACGAACTAGCCCGCGTTGCCCTACCTTACACTCTCGAGGATCTCATGCAGCTTTCCATCTCCATTGATCGTCGTATCAGGGAAAGAAGGTCAGAGAGGCTCACGGGGATACCGTGGACACCAAGGAGAACAACCACGCCCTTACCTCCCACAGTACCTCCCCCTGAACCTATGGAGATCGGTGTGGTAAGGGGGCCAATCTTACAGGAAGAAAGATCCAGAAGAAGACTGATGAACCTCTATATGTATTGTGCTGCCGCAGATCATCAAGTAGACGAATGTCCCTCGGTCAGACGGAAAAACGCAGGTAAGACCCGTCGCGTTGCGAAGATATACTCCCCACAACTGAAATCAACATGTTACTTCTACCTACCTTTGTCCCTACAGTGGGATCAAAGAAGACTTCATATTGATGCCATGATTGATACCGGCGCCTGTGGAAACTTCATCGACGCACAACTGGTCAAACAAAACAACATTCCAACCAGTAAGAAGTTCCAACCTCTCTCAGTTAGCTTTATCGATGGAACCACATTGGCTTCAGGGCCAATCCACCTACAAACGCATCCCTTACTTGTGGTCACCCAGGACAACCACAGGGATTGCACCTCCTTTGATGTTATCCAGTCTCCCATCTTTCCGGTCATCCTGGGTCTCCCCTGGCTGAGTCTTCACCAACCAACCTTCATATGGGCTGAAAACAGATTGCGATTGGACTCTAACTATTGCAAAGAGACCTGTTACCCATTATCAGCTATCATGCACATCAACCCTGAAGGGCTACCCCACCACTACAGTGACTTTGAAGATGTGTTTAACACCAAAATGGCTGACGCCCTACCTCCCCACAGGCCATACGATTGCCCCATAGACCTTCTCCCGGGCAGTTGTATTCCCGTGGGGCGGATATACCCGCTATCCCAACCTGAACTGGATCATCTTAAATCGTATCTTGAGGAGAACCTCAAAAAAGGATTCATCCAACCCTCCACTTCTCCTGCAGGAGCCGGATTGTTTTTTGTCCGCAACAAGGACAACAGTATCAGAACCATTATCGACTACCGTGCCCTAAACGCAATAATGGTGAAAAACCGCTATCCCCTTCCTCTCATCCAGAACTCATCGAACGTCTCCAGATGGCCAAAACTTACACCAAACTTGACCTGAAGGGTGCCTACAATTTAGTCCGTATGCGACCGGGGGATGAGTGGAAGACTGCCTTCAGGACCCAATACGGGCTGTTTGAGTATCTAGTCATGCCGTTTGGGTTAAGCAACGCCCCTGCCACATTTCAATGTTTTATAAACAACATCTTCAGGGATCTTCTAGACATATGCGTAGTCGTCTACCTAGACGACATCCTGATATACTCAAACAGTCCCGAGGAACACCGCAAGCATGTACGTTGGGTCTTGTCCAGACTTCGAGCCCACCACCTATATGCCAAATTAGAGAAGTGCGCCTTCGAGAAAACTACTATGCCGTTCCTGGGGTACATCATCTCTCCAGAAGGCGTACGTATGGACAACTCCAAGATTGAATGCATCCTGAACTGGCCGGTACCCCATTCACGAAGAACATTGCAACGCTTCCTGGGCTTCGCAAACTTCTAAAGGAAGTTCATACGGAATTTCTCGGCCACAGTCAAACCTCTCTCCATACTCACCAGCACCAAATCAAGGTTTACATGGTCGACCACAGCCCAGAATGCCTTCGATGACCTAAAACAACGGTTCACCACTGCCCCTATTCTCAAACTGCCTAACCCTACCTTCCATTACGTCCTTGAAGTGGACGCCTCCGAAATGGCTATCGGGGCCGTACTGTCCCAAAGGGAATCCCTCTCCTCTCCACTACATCCTGTGGCGTTTTTTTCGAGAACGCTGAACAACGCCGAAAGGAACTACCCTATAGGAGAAAAGGAGTTATTGGCCATTAAAAATTCCCTTGAAAACTGGAGGCACCTCCTGGAGGGTGCCCTCCACCCCGTCGTCATCTTCTCCGACCACCGTAACTTACAGTACTTAAAGACAACCAAGGCACTATCCTCCCGCCAGGTACGATGGGGCTATTTCTTCGATCGATTCAACTATGTAATCACATACCGACCAGAAATGGTAAAGCGGATTCCCTTTCAAGGATCAATGACTCCTCCAAGGGGAGCCCCGTGATGTCATCCATCATCCCTCCTGAGAGGGTACTGGCTTCCACAGTCGACCTAAAAAACCAACTCAAACTGGCACTACTGGGGACGGCTGACCATCCCCTTGGTCTCGTACGGGATAACGAAGGATTCCTCTACAGAGACAACAAACTATACGTTCCTCCTGCTATGCACGTTCCTATTCTGAAACTCCTCCATGATTCCCCTACCGCAGGTCACCCTGGTGTAGACAGGACACTGGATTTAGTAAGAAGGTACTTCTGGTGGCCAAGAATGAGAGAGATTGTGACATCCTGTTACCACATGCAACACCTGTGCATCCTGTAACCCTACGGGTAACCCTACGGGTTGTTGGCTAACCTCCCTATACCAGGACGCCCATGGGAGGTTGTCTCTCTGGACTTCATTGTTGATCTTCCCTTATCTCATGGCCACAACACTGTGCTTGTCGCTGTTGATCATTTGACAAAAATGGCGCATTTTGTGCCTCTAACCCGATTGCCGAATTCCCAGGAGACTGCCGACGCATTTCTCACCTCGGTTTTCAGACTGCATGGCATCCCTTCTCGCATCATAACAGACCGAGGAACGCAGTTTGTCTCAAAGTTCTGGAGAGCCCTCTGTCAGAAGCTACGAATCGACCACCGACTCTCGAGTGCCTACCACCCTCAAACAAATGGGCAGACGGAACGGGTGAATGGAAGAGGGACCTCCTGGCTCACGCAGAATTCTCCTACAACAACGTTGTTAATGCCTCCACCAAACAAACTCCATTCATGGCCAACTACGGATTCCATCCGGTCCCTCTTCCATCCTCAATTATCCGATCAAACAATCCTACCTCTGACAACTATGTAAACCATATACAGCAGGGTATTGAGGCCATCAAGGCCAACATACAGTCGGCCCAGGAAAGACAGAAGAAGTACTACGACCTCAGACATTGCCCCCCACCTCAGTTCAAGGCGGGTGACTTTGTATGGCTTTCGACCAAGAACCTGAACCAAAAAACCCCTTCACGAAAGTTCAGCAGGTTATTCATCGGACCCTACGTTATCCAGAACGTCGTGAACGACAACGCTGTGAGGCTCTCGCTCCCACCGGAACTGCGGATTCATCCGACCTTCCATGTCTCCCTTCTAAAACCTTTTCGGGAGAACCCTTTCCGGGATCGGGTGCCCCCTCCTCCTACTCCTGTTACGGTTGACGGTGAAGAGGAGTACGAGGTGGAAGAAATCCTCGACTCCCGAAGATACCGTAACCGATGGCAGTATCTCATACGATGGAAGTCCTGCGGCCCTCAGGAGGATTCCTGGGAGGACTCGAAGGACGTCCACGCACCTAGGAAGGTATTGCTGTTCCACAAGAGGCATCCTGACCGGCCTTCTCCTCCTGGGATCCCTGGTAGGGTTCCCTTGAAGGGGGGGTACTGTAACACTCGTGTCCCTCTACGGCCGGGTCCGGCCTCCTTCCGCGCTACTGTGCAGGCGCGACGTGCGGCTCCTCCCACTCTCGGACGCGGTCCGTCTCAGTTACGGGGCAGGCGTGCCTCGAGTCTCCGCCCACTCACACGAGTCGCTGGCATAAAGCCGCCATCCACTGATTGATCGGCGTCCCACTATTGTTGAAGCAGGACGCTGATCAATGCAGCCTCCCCGTGCTCCACTCCTGGAACCAACCTGATCGAGGAAACCAAGCACCACCTGAAGCTCTTCCACACCAGGGAGAGACCACAAAGCGCAAGTACCTTGTCTATAGCTGTAGGGCTATACAAAGTGAACTCCCTATATCAAGTAGGATCACATTAGCTACTATCTACTCAAAGTGAATTGCATAGATATCAATGGAACTGCTACCTGTTTAAAGTGAACTGCATATATCTAAATAAGATCACCTTAACTACTAATTACTCAAAGTGAATTGCATAGATATCAATGGAACTGCTATCTGATTTAAAGTGAACTGCATATATCTCAAGGGATCACCTTAACAGCTGTTGATTCATAGTAACCTGCATCCTACCGTTTGAACTGCCTAGTTCTAGTGTTATGCTTACCGTTTATACTACCTCCTTCCACTGTGTAGCGTGTATACCATCTGCATAACTTAGAACCATTATACTCACCTAAACCCAACCCATTGGGATTCCTAATTGAATTAACCATATATACCCTGTGGTCACCTTACAGGGAATTACGTGTTGCTATACGGGGTGTGATGTGTAGCAGCTCCCTCCTCGCCTTACTCCCATACTGGGCATAAGAGGTAGAGCTGCAATCTGATACCCATCCTTAAAGCAACAGATAGAAGCCTTGTCCGCAGCTGTGGTCCAGAAAGCTATTACCCCCTGGGGCAAGTGTGACATATTATTATAGTGAATAATGAATATCGTGAACAGAGCTGTTATCACTAATAGCAGCAAGCACTGAAGGTTGATGGCTAATGGGTCAGGTCAGGAGAGGTATACTATGAGTCTGTTGTAACAGTCCTGGACACTCTCCAATGTTTTTGCTTACCTTTATGGCCATTCACATAACACTTAGAACCATGCATCGGCCATGAAAAGTCACTGGAGATAACACAAAATATCAACCCTCTTACAGGTGACTTCATCACTCAGACCTCATGTTCTGCAATTGGGTGGCATGCGACATGCTTTCTAATACCTGGAAGTACCAGAATTTAAAAGAGTGGTGGCAATGATAGGAGTGAGGGTGGATCAGCAGCAAAGATATGTATAGATGCTGAAGTGTGTCTAGGCTAGGGTACAGAGAAGTGCATTGGGATTTGTTTTGTTCTAACGGGTTTCTTTAACAGAAGTTTTCCAAATATCTATTCAAAAAGATATCCTCTTGCATGTAGTCACCCAAACAAGCTTTTAATATTGGCTTAAAAAACCTTTTTCATCTTACATCTTCATGCCCATGGTGCCAAGGAATGGTGTTGTTCCTTTCCTCATTGCATAAAAGTGATACTAAATTCAGGAGTTAAATATTAAAAACCTTAACCATTAACAGAAATGTAACCTATTTGTGTATCACTCGACTGTAGATCCTCAAATCATCCCTGAAGTGGTGCTGACACTGTCCTTCCTTCTGGAGGGGGGCTACTTTTGTTCCCCGTGGTCCCTGTGTGTGTTGTAAAGTAGTCACCGCTCCTAGCTCACTCCTGTGATGGACTACAATCTCAAGTTTAGTTTACTAATTTGTATTGAGATTGTAGTCTATCACGGGAGTGATCTTGGAGTGGCGGCTACTTTACGACACACACAGGAACCATGGGGAACAAAAGTAGCCCCCCTCCAGAAGGAAGGACAATGTCAGCACCGATTCAGAGATGATTTGAGTATCTACAGCCGAGTGATACACAAATAAGATACATTTGTGTTAATACTTAAGGTCCCTGAATGTATTTTTAAGATTTAACTCCTTAGTTTAGTGTCACTTTAATGTCAACACTTTAAATAGTAAAATACAGTGTATCACTGTTCATCTGCCACCGACTTAGCTCACTGAACTGCACAGCGTCTTTTGCTGCTGTTGTTGAACACTGTGTTTTTGCTCATAGAGATGCTCAGGGGTCTTTAGGGTGGAATTCAATTTGCACCAAATGTAAACGCTCAAAGATTAACTTGATTTTTTTTTGTGCATTAAGGTTGACAGACTGCTTTAGCGCTGAAGTGTCTGATTGACAGAGATGTTGTTGAATGCTTGTTGTTGTATGACCAAGAAAACTTTGCAGAAGACACATACAAGTCAGACAGAAAACATACTTTAATTATTTGTAGAAACGGTACACAACACAAGTGGTATTTGGTGTACAACAACAAAAACATCAAAGTAACCCTAACTAAATAGAACTAAATAGGTTAAAAAAAACACTAAACAAAATTGTGTGGGTGATTGAGTAGCACTAAAAACACTGCAAGAATATTAGTTTTTGCCCGTGTGTCCAAACGTTTTATGAAAATCTATCTCTACTCACTCTGGGTGCAACCTTCAACCTAGAAATCGATTTGAACATTTCTGTTGATATTACTCATTGCCTTGTATTGCTCCCAACTCATAAAGCCCATAGATGACACAGGTGGCATTATAGGGCCATTCCTATATTGAGTTGCCCTAGGCTGCATCTCATTGGGGAGCAGCTAGGTGGTGGCTCTTAGCAACCTGTGACACTCTGTGCAGCTTCCCAGCCAGCTCGCTGAAGTCACCAGTTGCCAGGAATTGAGCGGCATGCTCTGGTTTTATTTGCTCCTGGCAAGCAAATAATATGAGACCCAGTGATCGTTCCCTGGCAGTAGTCATGCCCCCCATCCAACATCCGAATGACATCTCCTCAGGGGCAAATACCTTTACCTTAAGGACAGTCCTGGTAAAACTAATATTAAAATATACAAATAGACCTTATGTCAACATCTTTACACATAATACTGTGCAATTCCTTAATAAAGCCAAGGTAAACTACAGCTGGAATGTGATTGGTTCTTCTAACCCTGGTATTCTGTTTTTCTTTAATTTGACAGACTAAGCTGTTCTAGGTACTTCCTTCTTTTTCAGTCTGCATATTGGTCCATAATCATGCTTATCTGATTTTTAATCATGTGCGGACTGTTTCTTGGTGTAATCCTGGATGGCACTCTGAAAATGTTCTGTAGTGTTCATTTCTGGCCGGAGCAGAATGATATAACATTTTGGAGTGAAATATCCAGCTAGGATCCCGAAAACGCTGAGGAGCACAGCGCCCACATTGACCGCTGCAAGGTATTTCCCTTGATAAATGATGTACGTTGTGAAGTACCCAACCCAGGAGAAGAAGTAGACCAGTAAGCTGAATGAGATACACTTGGCCTCGTTGTAGTTTGCAGGCAAATCTTTCCCCATGTAGCAGAAGATAAAACATATCATGCTGAGGAAAGCAATAAAAATAATTTCAGCGATGGAACCTATGGACACCGTCTCAGAACATTTCAGAATGATCTGATCTGAGAAGGTGGAATAGTCTGCTATAGGCCTTGGTGGCTTCACCACAATCCACACAACGGAGATCAGGACCTGAATGGCGGTACTGGCGGCAATGAAAACATCTGAGCCATTCTTCTTCACCCAGATGTCGTATATTCTTGGCATATGGGTAGCCATCTTGAAAATACAAACAATCTGAAAGGCGTGGACCACGATGCAAGCGAAGCAAATGGTGAAACTCACGGCAAAGACAGGTTGTCTCACCATGCATGTGATGATTCCAGGTTCTCCAAAATAGCAGTATAAGGTACAAAGAGAGAGCGCTAAAGACAATAACATCCCCAGACACATCTTCCCTCCTGCCGATTTCACTACCGGAGTGTTCAGATTAATAACAAATAGAACGGCTATTGCTATGGTCACTAATAGCAGCAATGTAACAAGAAACAGAAGAACGAGGGACAATGGGTCAGTCCAAGGTAGGTATTCCACGGTTCGATTGTAGCAGATGTCATTTTTCATTGGTGACCACTGATCAGTTCCACAAGGCTGACACGTATAAAGATCTGGAGAACATAAATATTGATTTTGTCATTCAGTTTACATAAATAAAATTGACATGTTGTAAAGAAAAAACCCAAAGCCTACCCAAAACTCAACATATACAGGAAATGTACACACTCTTGAAATGATTTTCATGTGTCCAGCTGCTTCCATGTGATTTTCCTCTGTCCTCTTACTCCAACTCTGTCCTCCACCAGAACCATGGCTGATCTAGTGGTGTCCAGTTGTTATTTATTCCTTTATTACTTTGAATTTCTATAGAATCTCCTTTCTAGGATGTGCAAGAGTTTCAAAGATGAAATACTAAAATGTTTACTGTTTTACCTGCCACAAGATTTTAATTCTGAATGACCAGTCTTGCAATTGAAACACATTTGCCAAACTGCAGATGTGTATTTGCATCTGTATATATTGTTCATGTTTATATTTTATTCATTAAGACCAAATATGTTTGTTATTACCCCCGATGAAGCAGGATGTAGATTCCTGAAACGATTTGGATCTCCTTGACCCTTCAATTCCAACGTAATAAAATTCTATACATGCCCATATGCCATGTATAGAGCATTCTTATGGGCATAGGCACTGATGGAGTGGAGCACTTACGTTCCTTTTGCCACATCTTAGATACAACATGTGGGACACTTTGATATTTCTATGTCATCAAGCGAGCAGCCTACTATTTCTACATAATATAGACTAAAGCCATCCAAGCAGATGACACACCTATTTCCTGGTTCAGGTATCCAGCTTCCTACACCATCTCTCCACCTCTAGCTTTTTCACTGGAGAATGAATCAGCATCATCAATTCTGCCCAGTTAGCAAGGAGATGATCCAACAAGCGGTAAAGCAGAATCAAGAAGTAGTATTATAATTTTTCTGTCTGCGTAGTGAGGCAGAGGACTGGAAACCAACAAAAGTGACTGACCAGTTATTTGGCTGCTTGGCTGGAGTTGCACTTTAAGAAGCTAGCTATCTTACCAAGGCATTTGCCTAATTACCAAAACAAATGAACTACTACTTTTAAAATATAGTACCACACACTGGCTGAATTGTATTAAACCCAGAACATGCACAGTTGAGTTGGCAACCTTGGGTGGTCTCCACTTACAATAAATTACATCTAGGTAAAGACCATTTTTTAATATAGCAGAACTGGAAGCAAATGTTGACTGTCATAAAAAATGCGGTAACAATAAAGTTGTTTTTATGCCTAACAGAACGGCTCTTTGCAGCATCTCGGTATGGTATGGTGGACTGGTTTGGAAGGAGCAGGCCCTGGCGATGTGCGCACCCGCAGCTGAAATGGTGACAGCAATGGGCTTTTGAGTTGTACTGGGGACACTGTGAGTAATTTTGAAACACTTCAAGGAGTGTTTGGTCCTTAGTCCCCTAATGTGCTCAGTGGTTCGGTTGTCCAACCCCTTCATCTTTACTGTGCCCTATAGAGTTATGGTGGAAGTAACCATTCTGTGCAGGGTGAACTGGAAAACCAACATTCCTGGAAGTGCTGGATTCTGGAGATTCTTGGGAGGGTAGTTTCTACAGACTACAATTTGGCCTCCATAGCACATACTCATCTTTCCTGTGTACCACTCCATTCAGCTATGGGGAGAAAAAGGAAATACCCAGTACTTCTGGGTATGGAGCACCATGTCATTCAGTTCCATAACTCATGCGATGATTCTGATGTTTGGTAATTGGCCTAGGGCTGTGTATGGGGGGAGAAAGGCACCCCAGCATCCTTCCAAGGGAGCCTTCAAAGAAAATGTCTCAACTCAAGAGATGTATCAGAAAATTCCTTCCTAATACAGAAATTTAGAAGGACTAGACTTACCACTTGCATTGAGAAAACTCATTTGTGGGCATGGTAAACACTCAAAACAGCAGGTGTGAGACCCAGTCTGTACCCTTCTTTCTCCTGTTTCGCATTCTTTAGAACAAATAGATTCTGGTACCTGGATACAAAAGGAACAGTAAATGGTTGTTTTACTTTGCCGTGAGGTAAATTCAGTTTTTATTAAGACTTTAGTTAGTTAGAATTTTGTTATTTATACTTGCTGGGCTTTTGGCATTCAAAGTCAAAGAACAATAAAAGGCTAAAAGTATGTGAACACCCCTCCAAATGTTTGAGTTTAGGTGTTTTTAGTGAAAGACATTGTTAATGCTACAGCATACAAAAATATTTTAGACAACTGTGCACAACAGTTTGGGAAAGGCCGTTATATTGTTGCACCATGACTGTGCCCAAAGTCAGTTTCGAAAAAGATTTGAGGCGTTTGGTGTGGAGGAACCTGAATGTCCTGCACAGAGCCCTGACCTCCACCCTATTGAACACCTTTGGGGTGAATTATTGAAACGCAGATTGCAAGCCAGGTCTTCTCCTCCACCCTCCACCATCAGTAGCTGACCTCACAAAAGTTATTTTGGTTGAATGGGCACAAATCCCCCCAAACACACTACAACATTTTGTGAAAGCCTTCCCAGAAAAGTGGAGGCTGTTTTAGCCACAAAGTCAGGGGTAAAGGGAGGGGGGGGGCTATATTAATGTCCATAGATTTGGATTGGGATGTCCAACAAGTTCATATAGAAGTGATGATCAGTTGTCCACAAACTTTTTCCCATATAGGGTAGCGAACAAACCTCATTATAAATGGGGTCCATAGTATATTATTTATTATATATCTCTGTCTGCCCTCATTTACTCCCTTGCTTGAATTTATCTAACGCAAATATTACCCAGTGATAATGTACCAAAGCAATTATAAGCCCTAGATGGTACAGAGGTAAAGCTATTAGGTATGGTCCTAGAGGTAAAGCTTCCTGGTACATTTGCTTTAAATGACCGTGATTGCTTCACCTTCAGTTAATGTTTAGTAAAAGTCACATTCACTGCTTTATAAATAAACCCCTTGCAAGTACTCTCATGCCACAATGAGCAAAACATTGGTGCCTTTGTGCTTATATCTCTCCTTCCTACAGATATTATTCCTCTGACTGCCGCAGTGATTACACAACCTAAATGTGCCTGTAAATGACATAGTAAGCCCCACTTCACACCTGAGCAATTTCATGCCCCTTCCCCAAAGTGCAACAACAGTCAACATGAAGATTCCCAATTATATTGAATGTTACCCATTTACATTTGAGTGTTGTGCTGCCACTTGTTACATGAAAAACACATGGATCACCTTTTTATCCCCATGGACTCTAATAAGATCACCTGAAAATGCACAACACAAGCATTTTAGCATGTATTTTGTCTTACAGCCAATCTCATCCTCCTAATATCCTGAGGCCTGTAAACAAAATGTAGGATTCAGCAGTGTTCATGCAGGATGTGTAGACTTTCATCAGCCTGTGCTCTGTGCCACATGGAAACTGGCAATTAATGATAAAGTATTTATTTTATAGAGGTGAGCCTGCCAGCTCCAACAGAGGCTGCCAGATATGGCAAACAGGTTAAACAATAATGTCTTAGGCCAACTCACGGTATTATCTTTGGTGTACCACTGTAGTTTGTCATTCAGCTGCAACTGCTGTGTAGTTTTACTGTAAGAGCCAATGAGTTTGAACGTTGGGGTATCTTCGCTCCACGACCACATGACTATGTCATAACCAGTGGCCGGGTCTCCATTGCTATCGAAATTAATGGTCTGATTGTACATAGTGAAATTCACCTTCTTCACCTTTTGCAGAAGCTATGGAAAAAAAGAAACAAAGGAATTTACCCTCTGGATTGTAAAACATCGAGGTACTCCACCCAAAGTATTTGTTCGTTTTGTAGAGGGTGAGAAAAAGTCAGAACCTGCTGCCCATCACCCCAGTGGAAACATTTTCCTATGCTTCCTGTCTCAGTCATTTCGTCACCAGTGATCACTATTGTGATAACAATAACCAACAGTAAATTGTAAAATAAGATGACGTTATATGCAAATTTAGAGTCAAGCGCCAAACCCCTCCTAAGCCTCCATATTGGTGACTTAAACTACCCAGAACAATAGAGGACCAATGCCCTCAAACCTACACCTCAAGAGCATGTCAAATGTGGCCACCATGCCCTAAGCAGGAGTGTTTATTTAAATTTAGAAGTTGTACCACTGTAGTCAGTCCGATTCTGAACGATAGTTCACCTTTTTTAAGTCTCTCCTTAGCTCTGGTCATTGTTTTCTTCTGCCTGTTGCTGGAAAGTGAAGCAATAGTGTGGGAGGCTGCAGTAATCAGAATCAGAAATGTTTGTACCTCCCTGGCCAACCACTAGGAGGTTTATTGTCAGTGGTGCATGCTGGGAGAGGACATAAATGTTTTGGAGTAACATTGGGAAGTCAGCCTTTCCCCTGGGCCTCCTGCCTGGGGAAGAGATGCTTTGGATTGTCTGATCCTCCTAGGACTGCTGCCCGAGGAGGGTGGTCATGTGCTTAGACTGAAGCCTGGGTTTAAGGCCTAGTATGTGAAGCTTGAGGATGAAGATGCCATGGAGAAACTTAGTAAGGAGTCTGAGAAGCTGGCCAGAAGCTCGGTCCTTGACTAAAGTATGGTGATTTCTCCCCAAGTTGTTGGTAGCAGCAACATCCAGTATCTTGCAGGTACTCTATTCATAGAATTCTGGGTCAGCCTATAGGTTCTATATCTGTAAAGGTTGTACAAGGAGAGGCCAATAAGGAGGATTGTCCATAGGCTATGAATCCACCTTACTCACCTGACCTGGCACCTTCCGGGGCAGAGATTCATAGCCTATGGAAAATCCTCTCCATGCACAGCTGAAATCTCTTCATGGATTATTTGGGCAGGTTTCCCTTGAAGATGGAGGAACCTAATCACGGCTCGGTATTCAATTTTGTCCGGCATAACACCTACTCCATTTCTCTTGGCTCTAACTATAATTCACCACGACCTACAAAAATTGGCATGCATATTACCTAAGATATCCACCAATAAACTTTCAACTTTAAACATGGTAAGGGAAATAACTTATTGGCCTCCCCTCAAAAGTACTTTTTTTGTCTCTCTTTTCTGGAGTCAAGACCATGGGTGTCCTGTGCCTTAACCTTCTCGTCCCAAATTCCTAAATTAATTTACTGCAAGCAAAGGGTCAGCAGCATGGAAGTCAGTCAGTCACCACTGGTATGCCAGTGGATGCTTTGGGGCAGCTATGGAACTGTGTACCCTAGAGAGGCTAGGAGGGTCCAATCCATCCAGTGGCTCTTTTGGAAGGTGAGCGCTACACCAAGCATTATTTTTTACTTTGATCTATTTCCTGTAGTGAGACACACAGCTTTTAATACTCCCTCTGACATCATCACCAGACTCAGTGTCTATTGTTTTAGGTAGAATAGAAATATGGACACCGGCACTCCTAATGCTGTATTAATGCATCAATGTATTGACGACATGTAGCAAATAACATATAATGCAATGTTTCAGGGTCTCGCAGGATCCCCTTCCTCATTACATGCTCTGCCTGAGGAAGGGGATCCTGGGAGCACCCGAAACGTTGCATTTTATGTGATATGCTGCATGTCCGTCAATAAATCGACGCATTAATACAGCATTAGGAGTGCCGGTGTCCATATTTCTATTCTTACTTGAGAATGGTTGCCATCCGTTGATTACCGCTGCCCCCACTTATTCTACATGAAAAAACGGATAGGAGTGCGATAGGTTTATTGACTATTGTCTTAGGCATGTCCCCAGAACTACATCCCCCAAGAGCCCTTACCCCAAACACAACATGTGGGCAGGGCTGACAGGAAGTTAGAAGCTCACTGGAGATTTGACGGGTGAACAGGGATTTTTCTGGACTTGCAGAGATTTCAAAGGGATAAAACATAGGGGAATGTGAATACATTGTAGACATATACTGAATATGCTTTATTTATTCCTTATTTCACCCAAATATACACTTTAAATAGTATTACTTACCTGCCATGGATAGAAAGTATTGGTACTGCACTGTCCAGATTTACAGTCTAGTAGGTCATGTAAGGCATATGCTATGGCGTACACTGCCGAATAGGCATTGAAAGAAGCTGACATTGAAAACTGAGTTTGGATGGGCATGGTCTGCAGTGTGAAAGCCTGACAGTCGAGGCAGACTTGGTTACAGCCATTCTGGCCCATGGTTTTTATTTTTGGAGATGTGACATATTCTGTTTCAAATTCGAGTAGCTTTGGGAAAAAGACCTGACCCACTGAAACTCCTAATACCGAGCCAATTCTCTTGATATTGGCGATAGCTGTGATTTGGGTGTCCATTATCCAGCTTTCACTCCCGATCCAGACAAAGTCGGTGACGTTGGCATTTAGGACTTCTTGAAAAAATATCCTGGCGTTGAAGTAGGCCGAGAAGACCACAGTTGCCTTGACTCTGGTCTGGACTATATTGGCCACCATCTTCTTGACGTTGGTTGTATCAGTGCTAAGTGGGATCAGGCCCTGGTACGCTATACAGATGCCATTCTTGCTCGCCAGGGTGTTTAGGTCTTGTACACCCTGCCTGCCGTAGACATCATCACTGCCAACTATTGCCACCCACGTCCACTTAAACTTCTGCAGCAAGTTTAAAATGACTTCTACTTGAAGCTTGTCACTGGGGATGGTGCGAAAGAAGGATGGATAGGTCCTCTTATTACCAAGCTGCTCATTGCTGGCGGAGTAACTTATCTGAAAATAGAAATCAGCCATTTTGTAAATGATACAGTATTCTCTCTGGCATTTATTATTAATTGTTATTCCTGGAAAGTAGGGCTGGTACTGATTAAAATTTTCGTGTTCGATTAATCGAATTTTTTAAAATTGATTAATTTCGATTAATTATAACGCACATACAGATCCAACTAAATTGGCCTATACACATACAGCACAGCAATGAAGTAATAAAATGAACTAGGATCACACTAATTCAGCACGTTATTAATCTCACGTGCCCCACTCAATATAGCTGCCGCTTGAGTGGGGCAACTCAGAATAATAACGTGCTGGATTAGTGTGATCCTAGTTCATTTTATTACTTCATTGCTGTGCTGTATGTGTATAGGCCAATGCCTTGCCTGGCACTCGTGCAGAACAAGTTTCTTGGGCAAACTCACCGGCCCAAGTGGCTCCGTCGACTAACGAAGGGAAGGGGGAGGAGTCCGGTGACGTCACGAACATCGACGTCACCAGACTCCTCCCCTTTCCCTTCGTTAGCCGACGGAGCCACTTGGGGAAGGGGGGAGGAGTCCGGTGACGTCGATGTCCGTGACGTCACTGGATCTTCAGCCCCGGAAGCCGGCGGAGAGGTGAGTGTTTTCATTAGTGATCAAAATAATTTTAATCGATCAAAAATTTTAACGATTAATCGGGTAATTAATCATTAATTTCTGCAGCCCTACTGGAAAGATTAAAGTGTGGCAATAAAACCCAACACGAAACAAAAGGGGATTTGTCCTCACATTAGAGAGATTTTGTCTCATTGTTAGAGAGATTGAGATTGATCTCTTGACTGATGTATGGCCCTTAGAAGAGCCTGTGGTGTAGGACCAATGGAACCTCTAATACCTGCTCTAAGGTAAATAGCCACAGAACACCAACAGGCATTCTAGCCAATAGGCAACAATCTAAGGGCCACTACACTGATCATCACCAATGTAAAGGTCATTCTTCCCACTAAACACCAATGTAACATGGCATTCAAAAAACTGAACTACCAGTATAAGGAGCCCTACTCTCAATAACTACCAATCTAAGAAGGCAACTCTCCCACTGTCTACCAATCTAAGAAGGCACATGACCTCTCCCACTTATCACCAGTCTAAGAAGGCATCTCTCCCACTGACCACCAATCTAAGAAGGTAACTCTCCCACTGTCCACCAATCTAAGAAGGAACTTCTCCCACTGACCACCAATCTAAGAAGGCAACTCTCCCACTGTCCACCAATCTAAGAAGGAACTTCTCCCACTGACCACCAATCTAAAAAGACACCTCTCCTACTGATCACCAATCTAAAAAGGCACCTCTCCCACTCACCACCAATCTAATAAGGCACCTCTCCCACTCACCACCAACCTAAGAAGGCACTTCTCCCACTGACCACCAAACTAAGAAGGCACCTCTCCCACTGACTACCAATATAAGAAGGCACCTCTCCCACTCACCACTAGTCTAATTAGGCATCTCTGCCACTGTCCTCCAATCTAAAAAGACACCTCTCCTACTGATCACCAATCTAAGAAGGCACCTCTCCCACTGACCACCAATATAAGAAGGCACCTCTCCCACTGACTACCACTCAAAGAAGGCACCTCTCCCACTCACCACTAGTCTAATTAAGCATCTGTCCCACTGTCCGCCAATCTAAAAAGGCAACTCTCCAAATCACCACCAACCTAAGAAGGCACCTCTCCTACTGATCACCAATCTAAAAAGGCATCTCTCCCACTGACCACCAATCTAAGAAGGCACCTCTCCCACTCACCACCAACCTAAGAAGGCACCTCTCCTACTGATCACCAATCTAAAAAGGCATCTCTCCCACTGACCACCAATCTAAGAAGGCACCTCTCCCACTCACCACCAACCTAAGAAGGCACCTCTCCCACTGACCACCAATCTAAGAAGGCACCTCTCCCACTGACCAGCAATCTAAGAAGGCACCTTTCCCACTGACCAGCAATCTAAGAAGGCACCTCTCCCACTCACCACCAATCTGAGAAGGCACCTCTACCACTCACCACCAACCTAAGAAGGCACCTCTCCTACTGAGTGTTAAATGTGTCACATTAAAAAGGAAGCCACATTCTTTTATTGTTTATTAAAGTCACATTAAACCCTCAGATTTTTTAGCACAAACCAATACTGTGTGCCTTACTGTAATCCTTGGTCGTTTCCCTTCTCTTTGCTGCTCTTCCTTTTAAATCCTTATCTCTTCTCATGCTGGGGGAGAACTTCCCTTTGCAGCTGAGTGTCTCTTCCTGTAGTGCTGACACAGACACCATGTATCCATTCCAGAGACAAGGCAGTCTGCTGCAAAACAGAAGTTCTGCCCAGCATGAGAAGAGATACGGATTTAAAAGGAAGAGCAGCAAAGAGAAGGGAAACAACCATGGATTACAGTAAGGCACACATTACACTATTGTTTTATGTTAAAAAATCTGAGGGTTTAATGTCACTTTAACTATTACTTGAGACCTGAAAATGATCGTAAGGGTTTCTCTAAGGTTAAAAATTTGCAGAAGGCTACTCTAGACTGCAAGCAGGAAGTAACAATCTCTCCGATTATTACACTATCTTTTGCTATACAACTGTAAGTACCTTTCTAAACATTTTATGTAGTTGCATTACCTACCATTGTATGTTTCTCTGACTTTGTACAGCACCATGGGATACGATGGTGCTAAATGAATCAAGGATTATCATAATAATATCATAATAATCATAATAAAGTGACGTCAGAAAAAAAAATACAATGACTGTGCTACATCCAGCTCTATCTTTCATCTTGCTGCTGTGCATATTTTGGTATATTTGTGCAACTCAGCATGCAGCAGTTTACATCCACTTAAAAAAAACGCAAAACAAATATAGTGGATTGGCCATTGTGCAGACAATTTGTAAGTCAGGACTTAAAACACAAGGGGGCAGTGTTTCTCTTTTAATAAATGGCCGCAGTAAAACTTCCTTTTGCTCCAACTCATCGAAATCTCCAACTACCTCACTTCCAGTGCTCAGAAAGACTGGAGCTCTGTACTGTTGCGCGCGCACATAGCGTTTACAGAATACTCGTCGAGTTGGACACCTGCTGAATATTGTTTAGAGAGCTCCGTCAGTCTTTGTCTTTTGGAGTCTAACGCCATCTGGTCGAAATCTTCAACTTGCAAGTACCCGGCCGGCAGTGAGGTAGCTTGAGATTTTGACAAGTTGGAGCTTTCGATAGAACACCGGCATTACCCCAGCATCCCACAGTGTAATATGCATTGGCTACTATAGATAACTGAGGCTTTCACTTTGCATTGTGGGATGCAGAAAAGAGTTGATAGACACAATTTTAAAGGGGTCAATCAATATACAATTCACAGGGCCTGAGTATGTACATTTTGGGCAAAAAATGCCAAAACCAATGTTCATAAAGCAGTATATTTCTTCCGGATTCGAATGCAGTGTGCTGCAGTAATACATTTTGCCACTAGATAGAGCTGAGGAGCACAGACACATTGTTTTTCTATGCAGTAATGCAATAAAGAAGAGTTTTGCACTTTGAAACAAGCTTGCCCGTGTGAGCTGATGACATATCTTATTCACCCTTCCTAGCAGGTCGCAGACTAGGGGGGAGAGGGGCAATGTTGTGAGGCAATCAGGGATCTGTTGCTTCGTACAATGCTGTCAGTTTAACACTGAGAACATCGCTGCAGGAGGGGAGAGCGGTTTAAATGTACTGTTGCTCCTTCATTGTCCAATCAGCAGGCTGGAGGAGGAGGACTGACTATGAAGATTGACTTTTCCATCAGCTACCCATCAGATGGCTCAGGGAGTCAATGCCGTGGAGGGGGAATTTGCTGAACTGTCCACATACAAGATGTTTCAGCTATGAAGGTAAGGTAGGATATTTACACTATGGCCAAATGCTTGTGGACACCTGACCGTTACACCTATATGAGCTCACAGGGCATCCCATTCCAAAACCATGGACATTAATATAGAGTCAGTCCCCCATTCAGCCTACACTCTTCTGTGAATGGTTTCCACAGGATTTTGGAGTGTGCCTGGGGGGAATTATTTGTGCCCATTCAGCTGAAAGAGCATTTGTGAGGTCAGGTACTGATGTTGGACGAAAAAACCTGGCTCACAATCAACGTTCCAATTCACCCCAAAGGTGTTTAGTAGGACTGAGGTCAGGGCTCTATGGAGGCCACTCAAATCCTCCACACCAAACCCATCAAACCATTACTACTATGGAGCTGGCTTTGTGCTCAGGGGCACAGTCATGGTGGAAAAGAGAAGGGTATTCACCAAACTTTTACCACAAAGTTGGAAGAGCACAATGGTCTAAAATTTACAGTATTTGCACTCTTAATAGAGAAGCACTTGAATGTAATAATCAGGTGGGGTGTCCACAAACGTCTAGCCAAATGGTGTAGGTGAGGGATGTGCTTGTGACACTAAGACTAAGGGGCCTGTTTATAAACAATTCACAGGTCCCCTCCTCCTGCAAATATTTGTGAATGTGTGTTTAATGCACATAGAGCCAAAAATAAATGTTCTTAATATATTTTTTCTCACTTCGATTGTGGTGTTGTAATATTACATTATGGCCACCAGATGAAGCTTTTCCAAGTTCAAATGTAGTGTGTTGTAATACCAACTTATGGCCACTAGATGGGGCCGAGGAGCATAGAAAAGAAATCCTTATTTAAAACACTCCCCAGCTCCATCTAGTGACCATAATGTGACATTACAACACTACATTGGAAATGGGAAAATAATATACCGTATTAAGAACCTTAATTTAAGGCATTATTTGCCCAAAAGGAATGATCATAGATACTGTCAGGGCTCTGGTACTTTAAAATTTAAGTAGTACTATTGAAAAAAGAATCTTTATTTTCTCACTATATAATGATAAATTAATCTTACCTGGGGAACAAGAAACTTGCCCAAAACTCTGCCTGCAACAAAAGCAAAGCTACTGCTGGACGGGCCAACCAAAGCAATGGCTTTCGTTTTGTAGTTGGTGAAGTTGTTCTGCATCTGTAGATAGGGCTCTTCGCAGCGGTAGAGGTTGCGCAGAACTCCGTAGATGTGGGTGGGGTCGGAGCACGTGTCATACAGCTCATAGCCCAGGGTGACGTTGGGGAGCAGTGTGCTGGAGTTATTGATCTCCTCTATGGCCATCCTCGTTGAATGGAGTAAGTGGTAGCCCAGAATATTAAAGGTGCTTCTGAAAAGAAGAAAGTGAATGATAAAGGCAACAAAATGTCAGTTACAAACCGGATTGTGAAATGGACCGAGCAGCAGAAATATTCTTTCATGTTACCTGAATGCAGAATGAGTAATGCATAAGTGTAACAGCTCTTACTATGTTCACAAATACACTATTTTGCCAAAAGTATTAGGACGCCGGCATTTACACGCACATGAACTTTAATGGCATCCCAGTATTAGTTTGTAAGGTTCAGTATTGGGTTGGCTCCTCCCTTTGCAGCTATAAAAGCCTCAACTCTTCTGGGAAGTCATCCACAAGGTTTAGCAGTGTGTCTACTTGAATGTTGGACCATTTGTGAGGTCAGGTACTGATGTTGGAGGAGAAGGCCGGCTCGCCGGGCCCAAAGTTGGGAGCATGAAATTGCCCACAATGTCTTGGTGTGCTGATGCCTTAAGAGTTCCCTTCACTGGAACTAAGGGGCCAAGCCCAACCCCTGAAAAACAACTCCACACCATAATCCCCCCTCTACCAAACTTTACACTTGGCACAATGCAGTCAGGCAAGTACCGTTCTCCTGGCAACCGCCAAACCCAGACTCGTCTATCGGACAGTGGTGCCACTGTGTGCAAGATACAACATGGGATGTCACCAATAGGATCAATAGATTTATAGACATTCTTCAGGGAAGAGTTCAGCTTTCTACCGGGGATGCTTCTCTGGGATTTACATAGGAGAGATGAGGGCTGTTTGAGGTCAGCGCCCTTTTCACAAATCGGCGAAGATGGGCGGAATGTTTAGACAGGTTCTGCCATGGATGCTCACAGGACTAAATCTGTATTTTAAGACCTCATTCACGTGGGCGTGCACATCCGTACGGCGTTCATGTCTATGCAAAGACCTGCTCCTGGGAGGGACATGTGCAGCATGTCATTGCGTGCAGCCGCCTGTACATCCCTATAGGAGGACGCAGCTGCGTGCGGCTATAAGCCGACTAGAAACTGCACATCGGAGCAGGTCCAGGTGCATGCACTTAAACACGGACACTGTCTTTGTCCATCACTGATTACTGTATAGATTGAAAATCGTACGATTTAGCGTGCTCCTTAGACAAAAGACGTGCGACCGTACAGTAGAAACGGTTGCACGTCTTAGTTCACACTGCTCGATTCTCGTACGATCGCGGGATTTCCCGCGATTCTCGTACGAGAATCGAGCAGTGTATGGGCACCATTAGATTCAGACCTCAAGCAGCCTCTCCAGCATGGCTGATTACTGTACGTATTAGTTTCCAGACCTCACACAGCCCTCTCCAGAATTGCTGATTACTGTACATATTAGGATTCAGACCTCACACAGCCCTCTCCAGAATTGCTGATTACTGCACATATAGGATTCAGACCTCACACAGCCCTCTCCAGAATATCTGATTACTGCACATATTGGATTCAGACCTCACACAGCCCTCTCCAGAATTGCTGATTACTGCACATATAGGATTCAGACCTCACACAGCCCTCTCCAGAATATCTGATTACTGCACATATTGGATTCAGACCTCACACAGCCCTCTCCAGAATTGCTGATTACTGCACATATAGGATTCAGACCTCACACAGCCCTCTCCAGAATATCTGATTACTGCACATATTGGATTCAGACCTCACACAGCCCTCTCCAGCATGGCAGATTACTGTACATATAGGATTCAGACCTCACACATCCCTCTCCATGATGGCTGATTACTGTACATATTAGGATTCAGACCTCACACAGCCCTCTCCAGAATGGCAGATTACTGCACATATAGGATTCAGACCTCACACAGCCCTCTCCAGCATGGCAGATTACTGTACATATAGGATTCAGACCTCACACAGCCCTCTCCATGATGGCTGATTACTGTACATATTAGGATTCAGACCTCACACAGCCCTCTCCATGATGGCTGATTACTGCACATACTGTATTAGGATTCAGACCTCACCAGTGGTAGTCATTCATCTAACAGGTATAGCAAGCCGACTCGAACCTGGACGTCCGAGCAGGTCCAGTGCACGCACTTAAACAGGGACTGTCTTTGTCCGTTACTGATTACTTTACATATTAGGATCCAGACCTCACACAGCCCTCTCCAGCATGGCTGATTACTGTACACATTAGGATCCAGACCTCACACAGCCCTCTCCAGCATGACTGATTACTGTACATATTAGGATCCAGACCTCACACAGCCCTCTCCAGCATGACTGATTACTGTACATATTAGGATCCTGACCTCATGCAGCCCTCTTCAGCATGGCTGATTACTGTACATATTAGGATCCTGACCTCATGCAGCCCTCTCCCTCATGGCGGATTACTGTACATATTAGGATTCAGACCTTACACAGCCTTCACCAGTGGTAGTCATTCATCTGACTGGCATAGTATGTTTCAGTCACAGAACAAACATGCTGTAAATAAGTGTCAGAAATACCTATTTCTCTGCTTGTTCCAAGTCAGTGGCACACGCACAGCATTGAAATCAAAGCATCAGAATGGCAGCCAGGGATCTAGCATTACCAAATGAGAGAGCTTGGTAATGGCAACCTCCATTAACCTCTCATGAAAGGGTCCCTTTAAAAAATACAAAAAGCATTTGCCTAATACCTAAATGTTGACTTGGACTGATCTTATCAAGTAAAGCTGCCATAAGACAAATAAAGGGGCTGCCATTAACGCACTCCTGATAATGCTAGCTGCCTGATCGTATGATAGCTCTCTGTAAGGTATTCTAGGGGAAATTTATGAAAACTGGAGCTGACAGAATCTAGAGCAGTTGCCTACGGCAACCAATCAGCATCTCTCTTCAGCTTGTTTAGTTGAAGGTTGAAAATGAAAGCTAGAAGCCGACTGGTTGCCATGGGCAACTGCTCTAGATTCACCAAACCAGAACAAATACACAGGTCACCAAATCCAGAGTAGTCTTTATTAGCCTACTGGTTCCGGCTCAGCACGTCAAAACATTGAAGCTGGAGCAGGGGTAGGCAACCTCAGCCCGCCAGCTGTTGTGGAACTACAAGTCCCATGAGGCATTGCAAGACTCAGACAGCCACAGGTATGACTCCCAGAGGCAGAGGCATGGAGGGATTTGTAGTTAAAGCACAGCTGCCGAGGTTTGCTACCCCTGGGCTAGAGGGTCACCATGGAACACGTTTTCAGGAGCGCCCAGTAACGGCAGCCTCCACGTTTCCCGCATGACAGGTTTGCTTTACGACGCGGCGCGAAGGCGCTTTCCAGGCTTCTCTCACCCATCACAGTAGTTGAGCCCCAGCATGGGAAATTGCGTTGAATCCGCTTTGTGGAGCGGGAACAGCCCTCCGATCACGTAATCTCCGGGAAGTCTATATTCCGATTTATAGTTGGAGATTTGGCAGCCCAGCGCGGCGCAGAGGTGGAGTAAGAGAGCGAAGCAACGATCCAACGCCGATACGACAACCATGGCACCGGTATCACAGATGTGGGGGATTGCAGGAAGGATGGAGACGCACTAAGCGAGGAAACCGAGATAGCCGGAGCGCCTTCTATTAATAGAGGTATTTGTTTTACACAGGTGATGGTCGGCTGCATAAATACATCCACTGCGCCCTACCCACAGGATCAGAGTACACAGTGATTTGTATATGGGAAGATCTCCACCTGTTGTAGCAACGAGAGGATTACCGCAGGGGAAATTTTAAGTGAAAAGCTAATTGCATTCAAATCCGAGCGCGCCTTATGGCGGTTTAAGCTCTACCTGGATCAAAAAGGCTAAAAGAGACGAGACGCCGTATTCAAATGTACTCGGCCGGTCGGGGCGACTGCCGAACCGGACTAATGCGCCCTGTTTTGCAAAAAAAGAGAAACAAAGCTGAGAGGGGCCATTTACTTCTGTGCTCTGCGGGAACGCATGCGTCAGCGTACATGTTACCACAAGACATGTTACATGTGTTGACGCGTTTTGGTGCCATTGCTTTTGAATAGCACTGCAATGTGCTAGTTGTGTAACCATAGAGAATTGCAGCCCCCCCCAAAAAAAAATTGGGATGCTTTAATTAGGAATATCGGCCGCCGAATCATATCGGCCACCGAAACATATCGGCCGAAAATTGCACTTTTTGGCATAATGCTGAAAGTACCATTTTCTGGCCGATACAGCGGTGCCTCCATTGTTTCTCTCCTCCTCACTGGGTGTCCCAGCGGGGAGGAGAGAAACTGTCACAGGCGGCTGAGCGCTGCGGGCTGAGAGCGCTGTGAGCGGCCTGCGTCTCTCCTCCCTGTTCCGCTCGCTCAGCCTCCTGTGACAGCTGTCTGAATGGAGAACGGGTACAAGTAGTCAGTGCTCAGTGATCGCTGAGTGTTTGTAAATAATTGAGGACAAAGTATGTTTACTATATCCTCAATTATGAATGAATGGGAAGTGATCGCCATCACCTCCTGTTCATTCATAATTGTGGTTATAGTAAACATACTCTGTCCTTATGTTATGAATGAACAGGAACACTCAGTTTAGAGGATTCCTGTTCATTTATAACAGGGGCTGCAGAAAAAGAGATTGAGGACTTTGTGTCCTCCAATCTTTTTTTATATTTTAAAAGGGAAATATTAGGGGTCTGTTTAGACCCCCCTTATAAAAAAATTAATAATAATAAAATATTTTTTTTTAAATTGAAAACGTTCAAATAAAATAAAAATGGGGTTTTCGGCCTGACATTTTTTAACATTTCGGTTTCGTTTTGAAATTTTCATTTCGGTGCACCTCTAGCTTTAATGCATCAGAAGCTTATTGATTTCAATGGACTGCCTTTAGGTTACGCATGTTAAGGTTTGACATAATGCGCCGCACAAGTGTAAATGGGGTTTTAAATAGATGCAAACGTGCGGCAAACATGCTACACGCATCGACACATCGTGGAACAATAAATTTTGAAAAGCACCCGGATGCCTTATAGCCACACACGTGTATTAAAATGTGCTGCAACACATGGCAAAGCAGCAAAGTGGGTTGCGGCAACAGTTTTTGTGCCATGTCTGATTTTACCCGTTGGTTTTAAAAGGGCTGCCGTGACATAACACGTGTGCAATTACGCACCGCACGAATGTAAATGGGCCTGTAGAGTAGAGGAAAGTGGGGACTGTGGGCACTGAGTCCCCCCTTACATCAATGCCCCCCCTTACTCTACAGTCCCCAGGGTCCCCCCTACATCAGAGTTCCCAGACTTACATCAGGGGGTCTCGGGGGCGCTGATATATGGGGGGACTCTGATGTAAGGGGGTGGTCTGCAGACTTTGATGTAAGGGAGGACTCTGATATAAGGGGGACTCTGATATAAGGGGGGACTCTGATGAAAGAGTGACTCTGGGGACTGGGATGTAAGGGGGAACTCTGATGTAAGGAGGGACTCTAATGTAAGGGGGAACTCTGTGGATTCTGATGTAAGGGGGAACTCTGTGGACTCTGATGTAAGGGGGAACTCTGGGGACTCTGTTGTAAGGGGGAGCTCTGGGGACTCTGTTGTAAGGGGGAGCTCTGGGGACTCTGATGTAAGGGTGAGCTCTGGGGACTCTGATGTAAGGGGGAGCTCTGGGAACTTTGATGTACGGGGGAACTCTAGACTTGCTGTAATTGTGCAACAAAATTGTGAAGCTTGGCAAGTCTGCAATAGTTTAGCAAGTCATTTTCAAACTTGCAGCTCAATTGCTTGCTATCTGGGAGCATCCAACAGGGGAAACACTAGTCAACACATCCAGAAATGCTGGACAGCAGTGCCATTGAAAGAAAAGAACTTGATGCCTGCAGGACTGTAAAGCACTAAACTTTTGAAGGTTGGGTTGGGTCTGTTTGCACTTTTTTTTAACCTGCAGGCTCACTATAATGATACAAGGTGGATATTTATTGAGAAATGATACAATTGCTGTATATTGTGACCTATCAGGAATGTGTTTGTAACGTTACTGACAGGTCCGCTTTAATAGAGCCAATATCTTCTGATCACATGACCTAAATCTACTCGTTCTGTGCGTCCCGCCGCTGACAATGAGAAGGCGGGGCCTGGTGACGTACGGGGAAGCGGGACAAACAGTACCTGACCCTGGGAAACAGACGCATGTTTCTCGTATTGACCTACTAGAGATCGGGCACCGAGGGAAAATAATTGTTGGCCCCTGAGAATTATTCGCAGAGTGGCGCCTCTATTCTACACACACGCCAAGCTATGAGGCCACGGCCGCCTTCTGCCCGCTCCAAGGCCGTCCTGAAGGTTCGCCCTGGGAAGGGAGGCTCGTTGCGGTCTCGCCATGTCTGGAAAGAGAAGTGTAACATGGCAGCCGCCTCAGAAACGAGCAAAGCCCGGCCTAGCACCTCCCAGGAGAGAGCCCCGAATCCCGCCATGACCGCACTGCTGGCCGAGGAAGGAGAGTGTGTTCTGCTGCTGGGCCCCGGGCAGGTCTGTCATACGCATGGCCCTTCCCCCCACTCTGTCATTTAACAACCACGCTATAAGTTTAAGCATGGCCCTCCCCAACAACCGCACACACTACCCTCACCTGGACTACAGGTGCCAGCGTGGCCCCCTGCCACCCTGACTGCAGGTCCCAGCGTGGCCCTCTGCTACCCGGGCTACAGGTCCTGGCTCTCTGCCACCCTGACTACAGCTCCCAGCATGGTCCTCCACAACGGTTACAGGTGCCAGCGTGGCCCTCTGCCGCCATGACTACAGGTGCCAGCGTGGCCCTCTGCCGCCATGACTACAGGTGCCAGCGTCTCTCTCCGCTCCCCCAGTCTCAGACCTAAATGTACAGTATGTCTATGTTATACAGGATATATTGCATCACTATTGTGTACGGCTGGTGTGGTAGTTGGTGCTGTGTATAATGCAGCGGATCCGGCCCATTCCATATAGCAATAGACCATTGCAGGTGCTATGTTGAAATGACGGATGGTGCTGTCACAACGGCACCTTGCGGACATGCTCAGTGGACATGCTGTAAATGAGACCCTCGAGTCTATAAAGCTTTGCGTCTTACATTTGTTTTGTTTTCTAGAAGCTGACGTTCACAGGGAAATGCATTGTGACGTGCTTGTATGGCAGCGTTCAAGTCTTGGGCTTAACCATCAACTCCAACGAAACACCCTACGAGTTGTTTTCCCCAAATACGCAGGCGCCTCTGACAATCGAAGTGATGAAGCGGAAGAAGCCTGACAAGACTCTCAAAGAGATCCGCACGGAGGCCAAAGCCGTACTACGAGGATATCTCCCTCTAGGTCAGTGGTTCTCAACCTTTCCAGGCCCTGGACCCCTTGGTAACATTTGCCAAGTTGTGGTGACCCCAACTGTAAAATTTAGGGATGCACCAATACTAGTATCTGTGTGAGCTCTCAGGAGGCTATGCAGGCTCTCAGGTGGCTAGTGGAACTCTCTGTTGGCATCCAGTGCAGCCTCCGTGGTGCCCAGTTGCGAGCTCTGTGGTGATCAAGCACTCCCCTCACCCCTGCCTACTCCCCTCTCTCTGATCCTCTCCGGCCTCTGCTGCTGCCGTGCCATCTAGGAGAACTGACACTGTTACGCTAGGAGGATGCTGAGGAGCCTCTTACCTAGAGCAGCACAAAGCACGTGGGGACCCCCTCAACTGTGGGAACCCACTGAGAACCACTGCTCTAGGTAATATCTTTAGCAACCAGCAATGAATGTTTTATTCATCAAATAAAGATGATATAACATTTTAAAAACCCTTAGGTAGGGATGCACCAATGTCGGTGCCAATACTGACCATTTTAATGTTCTTGTCATAATGCCCATATACTGAGCGCCAATACCAGCGCTTCTTTTAATTTTTGAACTGAAACCGGTGCTTTAAACAGGAGCCCCCATTCACAGGAAGGCTGCAGAGGTCACCAGCAGGGTCCCAACAGCCTTCCTGTGAATTGGTGCGCCTGCGAAACCGACCAGGACCCCTGGTGATTAAAGTGTATACCCCCTGGTGAGACCCTGCACAGCCCACCTGAGATCTTCCGCTGGAGACATCAGGACAGAGTATGTAGCTTCATATTATTTTGCATTGGTGGGATTTGTTCCCCATGGCCCCTGTGTGTGTTGTAAAGTAGACACCACTCCAAGCTCGATCCCAGGATGGACTACAATCTCATGTTTATTGTACTAATTTGTATCCAGATTGTAGTCCATCACGGGAGTGAGTTTGGAGCTTTGAGTACTTTACAACACACACACAGACTCTACAGCCGAGTGATACACAAATAAGATACATTGTTCATAGTTAAGGTACCTGAATGTATTTTTAAGATTTTACTCCTGAGTTTAGTGTCCCTTAAGTCTTTCATGAATGCTGCTGCCAAATTCATCCATCTCACCACCGCTTAGTATTCTCCACCCCTCTTTGCCAATCCCTCCACTGGCTTCCAATAGCTCTGCGCATAAAGACTACCAACAATATACAAAGCCATCCACAACTCTGCTCCCAGCTATATCTCCAACCTCCACTCCAAGTATCACCAAAAGCGTCCTTTCTGCTCCTCTCAAAACCTCCTGCTGTCTAGCTCCCTTATCACCTCCTCCCATGCTTGTCTTCAGAACTTCTCCGGAGCCTCTCCCGTCCTCTGGAACTCCCTACCACATCCTGTCTGGCTATCTCTTAATCTGACTTCCTTTAGACGATCCCTGAAAACTCGCCTCTTCCACCTCTTCTTAAAAACTGTAAAACAACTCCTTCAATCAGCTCATGCCTCACAGTTATTACCTTCTGTATCACTTGTCCTTCTTTTTAGATCAAGGGTAGCCAAACTCCGGCCCTCCAGCTGTGGTGGAACTACAAATCCCATGAGTCATTGCAAGATTCTTGTGAAAAAGGGGATTTTTGTTCCTGCCTGGAGATCCGACTAATTGTAGTCACCCTATTGAAGTTTGCATAACTGCTTGTGTGTTCCGATCCGTAACCAGGTTAACCCCTTCGTGACTGACGACGTACAGTGTACGTCGCCAGCATCGGGGCTGTTTAAACAGACTCGCGGCGACTTTTGCCGCCGGGACTCTGTTTAAACTTGTAGAGCCGACTGTCGGCTTTGCAACAGAAGCGATCCTGGCGACTTACCTGTCGCCAGATCGCTTCTGCGTCCCGAAGAAGGGGCCGCCCCCCCCCCCGGACACCCCCGCCGTGCTTCCCGGGCTCCGTTGCCCCTCCTACGGGCCCGGGACCGGCGATCTTTGTGTCCGCGGGGAGCTGGGGAGGAGGTCGACGAACTTCCGTTCATCGATCCCCTCCCCGTTCTATGGGACCGGGAGCGATGCAGATTGCATCACTTCCGGTCCCTGGGCTGTCAGTTCTGGGCTCCTGCAGCCCAGCTATAAGCTATTGAAGTGCGATCTGCACTTCAATAGCTTATTTCCAGTGTAAAGGTGACACTGAGGGTCTTTTGGACCCCCAGCATCACCTTAAAGAGGACCTGTCACCACCATCTGCTATTACATGGGGGGGCTTGCAAGCCCCCCCATGTGATAGCAGTCAAAGTAAAGTAAAAAAAAAAAAAAAAACAGTTTTTAAAATTAAAATGAAATAAAATAAATCTAATAATAATAAAAAAAAATTTAAAAGTCCCCCGCCCCCGCGAGCACGCGCGTCGCCACGTAAACACGCGTCGGGTGCGCCTACGCATGAAAACGACGAACGCGCTACACATGTTGGGTATCGCCGCGCACGCCGGAGTGAGAGCAATAATTCTAGGGCCAGTATTTTGGGGTATCTCTAAATTGATGACCTGTGGGGGCTTTTAAAGTGTCTTTTATTGACTTTTTGGGGTACTGCAGTTTTTCGCCGTTTCACGGTCGCACGCAATCTGTAAACTGGGCATGTTGGGTATCGTTTTACTCGTTGTAACCTCATCTTTTATATTTCATTTAAAAAATGGGTAATTTGTTGTGTTTTGGGGCATTTAATTAAATTTGTCACTAAATTTTGGGGTTTAATAAGGAGTTGCGCTAATATTGCGCAACATAAAAATTTTCAACTACCACCATTTTATTCTATAGGGTCTTGGCATTCAGAAAATATATAATGTTGGGGGGTTTTACGTCATTTTCAGGCCTAAAATGTGGAATATAACATGGGTGCAAAAATTGAAAAAAAGGCCTCAGTCATGAAGGGGTTAATTGATACAAAAGAAAATGGGATTAACTCGTTAGAAGATAACAAGTTAGTAGTGGTCAATGTAGGGATCCGGACAAGCGAGTGTATTATACAAAAATTAATTTTATTTGAAGAAGATATAGAACATCACACTTAGCTCACTCACCACCATTAAAACTGAATAAAATACAGACAATCATAAATTGTATGTGGATCGATCCTCATAGGCACTTGATATAGATTTCACCGTAAGGAGTAATGACCGATGTATGGATTATGTCGGTCTTTATCCCTTTACAGGGTAACCCATCCATGTACCAACTTGCATAGGCTGTATGGGCTGGGGGGATATCCCAGATCTCCGAGACCCCCTTATGATGTTCCAAAAAGTGTTGGGCTAGGGGACTGTCTACGTCTCTTCTTTTAATATCATTTAGGTGTTCACCTATTCTTACTTTTAGTTGTCTTTTAGTCTTGCCCACGTAGAATTTCTGGCATGGGCATTCAATCAAATATATGACTTTACTTGGAAATCCACAAATATTAGAAATAGAGAGTGAAATTAAAGACAAATTCAAGGAACATAAAAAATTAATACTTAAACATTTAAATAGGAAATGGGATGTTATGTCACTTGAATCCTACTTGCAAGCCAAAATTATCCCAAGAGGTCTAAGGGAAAGAGTCATACCGGCGGAACACCTACAAAATGAACGCTTTTTGACCAAATGGAAAACACAGTGCATAGAACACGGTCTAACACTAATTAAACTAATTGTAGAAGAAGAAAGGCTGCAAATGCGAGATCTTGAAGTACAAATAAAAGAGAGCTCCGAAGGGTTAGAACCATTAAAAGATGCAGAAAGTTTCATGAAACATAATGATCTATTACGCAAGGAAGTAGAGAAAGCCCCAAAAAATCTGAGACAAATAAAACAATCAAAATTCCAGAGAGACATAGGAGACTGGGAGAGAGGGGACCCATTTAAACCTATACAAAACAGGGGCAGGAACACATCTAGATCAAGATATTCCACTAGTGGAGAGAGACGCTTTAGAGATATCTCCACCAGTGGAAGTGAAAGCGAACCCCCAAAGTCAGTGAGTTTTTTATTGGAAGGGGAGGTCCCCCCATACAAACAAAAAAAACCAAGAAAAATAGAAGACCAAAGACGAGAAAACATAAACAGCCAAAACATACAATCTCAGACCAGAGCCAGTGTGAGAACGAGGAGCCGTCGGACCTGACTCCATGCCACCCACTGGGGGACGAACAGACTAAAAATGTGATTAATCTGACTGACTTCCCATTAAATGAACATCATTTAAGCCTTTTAAAAAGAGGCCTATCTTTTTCCCCAGTGGATGGCATGGACGAATTTACCATATACAAAGACCTAAATCTATTCTTGAGGAAAGTTTACCTAAAATACATACACCAACTCAGAAAGACACCTCCACCCCACGGGGATACATCACAGAAAAAAGAACACAACAACACACCAGAACTAGATGCACAAGCTTTAAAAGACCTAGAGGACCTCCTGGAGGAAAACATCATATCCCAAGAACCCTGGGAAATACCAACAAAAAGGACCACCCGACTAAAGAAAGGATCAAAAACAATGACCAATTTTTTGAGCAATAGATACCTGGCCTTATTTAGAGAATTAATACATAAAGAGATTAAACAAATAGATTGAACAATAAGAGGCACAGACAACCTGAAAAAAACAGAAAGGGAAGCCCTAAAAGAACTTAGAGAAGCACCAGGGATAATAATTAAAAGCAGTGATAAGGGAGGAAATGTAGTGCTCCTCCCGGAGGACATATACATAAGGAGGTTAAAAGATTATTAAAGGACGAAAATACATACATTAAAGTAAGTGAATCCCCCTTCAAAAAATTGACTAGCGAGTTTAATAACAAAATAAAACATGCCAGGGAAGCAAGTCTACTTACACATAATGAATTTCACTTCTTAAAAATAGAAGATTATAATATTCCAACATTTTACATTATACCCAAGATTCACAAGAACTATAATAATCCCCCGGGAAGGCCTATAGTCTCAGCTGTAGGAGGACCACTGGAAAATATGGGTAAATACTTGGATTCCCTCCTAAAAGAAATGGTCTTACAGTTACCCTCCTACACCCGGGACACCAAAGATGTACTAAACAAAATAAACGACCTGGTAATACAGGAGGGTTCCCTTCTAGTTGGGATTGATGTGGAATCACTTTACACATCGATCCCTCATGAGTGGGGACTAAAAGCCATAGAACATTTCCTAGATGTATATTTTCCATTTATGGCGACTCAAAATGAATTCATTGTAGAACTACTTGAGTATGCCCTCGATAATAACTACTTTCAATTCTCGGGAATGTTCTAGAAACAGATTAGAGGCACTTCGATGGGAGCCCCATGGGCCCCGTCCTATGCATTTCTCCATCTGGGCCTATGGGAACAGGAGCTAGTATACAATCATCCTCTATACCTGAGCCACGCAAAGACGTGGCTCAGGTATATTGATGATATACTGGTGTTGTGGAGCGGAGGTGAAGATCTACTGACATCCTTTGTTAAGGACCTGAACATTAATAATAGAAATCTAAAATTCACGTACACTCAAAGCAATACACAATTCACAGACATGATTTCTGGAGAGAGATGCCTCATGGGATTTGTAGTTTCACCACAGCTGGAGGGCCGGAGTTTGGCTACCCATGTTTTAGATTGTAAGCTCTCACGAGCAGGGTCCCTGTAATCCTTTTGTATAGTATTATATTGTAGTTGTACTGCCTCCCCATATGTTAAACATTTGTCGCCCTCTGCTTCTCTTATCAAATCATGGCTTCAGATACTAGGAGACACAAGCCTTTTTAGATTGTAAGCCCTCAGGGACGGGGCCCTCCTTACCATCTTGTCTTAAATTGTATTGTGACTGTAATGCCTTCCTTACATTGTAAAGCGCTGTGCAAACTATTGGCGCTATATAAATCCTGTATAATAATAGGACTAACTGGGATAATAGTATTCATGGGATATCTGCAGTGTTTATTTTTCATGCAGTTGCAATGTTGTGTCCTAGTAGTATTTTTAACATCCTCCTTCTTTTTTTTTCCCCTCCAGATTGCAGACGTACGATAATGAAAAGCTTTAAATCATCATGCTCTATTTTACTGATGGAGCGTCTAGAAGACCCGACCACCAGCTACATTATGACTCATTCAGAGTACGCCAACATCTTTTTTGCTAAACTGGTACGTGAGAGCAGATGATCTTGTGTGTGTGTGTACAGAGCTCAGGTGCTGGCATAGTGCTGAGACTGTGCTGCGTAAAGCAACCACAATGGAGAATATTTTATTCAGTAGGATAATTTGAAGAATTTTCTATTTAAAGAAAAAAATTTGATTTTGCAGGAAGACAATTGTTTGGACATATAATTGCTACACGAGGCATTTTGTAATCTTCGTGTATATCTCCCTATTCAGTCCAATATGCGAAAACCCCCACCATATGGTTGTGTTCCCATTCACGCAACATACCCCCAAAATATCTTAATTTCTTGGAGGAAGTCTTTGGGCAGACTGCAAGCTCACCTGAAAGATCTTCGATCTTAAACCCTTTGTTAAGCTGGCCTTACACCTATAGATTATCTGCGGATTTTCTATGGTTAGATGGAAAAAGTGCAACAGATTCCTCCATCTACGCTAAACTGTGTGGCTGGAGAAATCTCCCGCTGGGCCAAGCTTCAGTATTTTGCTAGTCGTCCCCGCTGGCTCTCAAAATACCTTTATTTAAAGAAAAAAATTTGATTTTGCAGGAAGACAATTGTTTGGACATATAATTGCTACACGAGGCATTTTGTAATCTTCGTGTATATCTCCCTATTCAGTCCAATATGCGAAAACCCCCACCATATGGTTGTGTTCCCATTCACGCAACATACCCCCAAAATATCTTAATTTCTTGGAGGAAGTCTTTGGGCAGACTGCAAGCTCACCTGAAAGATCTTCGATCTTAAACCCTTTGTTAAGCTGGCCTTACACCTATAGATTATCTGCGGATTTTCTATGGTTAGATGGAAAAAGTGCAACAGATTCCTCCATCTACGCTAAACTGTGTGGCTGGAGAAATCTCCCGCTGGGCCAAGCTTCAGTATTTTGCTAGTCGTCCCCGCTGGCTCTCAAAATACCTGAACAATGCCTGCATCCAATCAGATTGTTCAGGTGCTTTGACAGCCAGCCGGGCCGACTAGCAAGATACTGAAGCTTGGCCCAGTGGGAGATTCCTCCATCCACACAGTTTAGCGTAGATGGAGGAATCTGTTGCACTTTTTCCATCTCACCATAGAAAAGCTGCAGATAATCTATAGGTGTATGGCCAGCTTTTTGGACAGACAGTTCAAATCTAGTTTACGAACGACAATGAGATCTGACAGCACAGTACAGATGGGGTTAATAATGGTAAACCTTAACCCCCCTTTAACATTACATAGAATGTGAAAACTGCAGATTTCAGAAAATTTAAGCATCAGTTTTTAAATATTTAGATAATGCTATGTGAATGTAAGCGTACCAAATATGAAGTAGGTGTTAGGACTAGTTTGCACCAGCCCCAGTGCCTTCCGGCCTGATTCGGTGCTTTAACACACTGGATTGAATCCTGGCCGGTTCATTGCGTTTGAGGGGGCATGGCAGTGCATTGAAGTCAGTGGCACCGCAGCCACGCTGCACGGTGCAATTGCCTGCATTCCGGTGCGGTCAAAAAATATGCTGTGAACTAGCGCTTAAAGCCGATTACTAGTTAAACCGCTAAATACAAGTGAAACACATATGAGAGCTGTTTTACCTGCCAAAGGATTTGTATTTCTGCCTATTTATTGCTGAGATATACCTGGCTCTACCCTGCACCCAGCCCCAGATTTGACAGTGAAAGAGAAGCAACAGACTGATCATCTCATTGCTCTGTCACTGTGCTTTCTCCTCCTATCAGCATGTTGCTTGTTGGCACTGCAGCACAACTGATTGGCTCAGCTGTACAGAGTGTTACAGAAGGCTGATACCCAGTTCAGGTACTTTAAGTGCATTTTCTGAATGCCACTTGATGATTTTAATGAACACATGCCTGCATCAGTGGTGTTTTATTGTATTTATTTTTTAGGCTTTAAAATGACCCCGCCCCTTACAAAATAACGCGGAACTCAAAAAAAACAGGCTCTATACTTTTCTTAGTGTCCTCTGTGTTCAAACACCACCAGTTCAGTGCTCTCCAGCCACCGCAGGTATGCCTGTTCCTTTTAGGATGCCGTGCTCTCTCCCAACGTTGACTGGTATGTGGACTCAGGACCCATCTGACCAGTTACATATTTATCCGATTAACCGATTAATCGAACTTAATAATCGGCTAACTAATCGATTTTGAAAATAATCGTTAGCTGCAGCTCTACATGTAACGGTTGGAGAGCAGTGAAGCGGCCATGTTTCAAGACAAAGCCCGGCGGGAAATGTATGCGTATTTCCTTTCTTTTCCTTTTACATGGCAGGAAGGATGCGGGTGGTGCTCCGTCACCGAGACTTGCCACAAAGGTGATGCATGCTAACAATCTAATCTTGTGTTTCTACAGAGTGAAAAGTATTCCTCCATGTTGGATGACACAGTCCTACAGTCTGTTGGAATTGAGAATCGTGATCCTGACTCGGGGATTGTCTTGCTAGAGAAAACTGTGTCTGCAGCACAGACGTTAGTTGACGCTTGCATTGGTAAGTTTGCGGCTGCCTTTAGTACCATTACAGGAAGAGGGAAAGTATTTCAGCTGAACTCCGGCCTCTCCTTCAGTCTTGCACAGTTGTACCGGCTCCTCCTGGACTGTAGTGGCTTGCTCTGATTTCACTGCATACTGTGAGCTTCTCATAATGTGCATTAGAAGTTACAACACAGATAGAGCCTGTCTCATGCTCTAGATGGGGGACTTGCAGCATCAGCTAGTTTTTTCTTCCCCAGCCTGATTCACTTTCTCTTGCTCACCCATTTTATTCATTAGGTTTGTTCATTTAATTGTCAAGGTTCAGCATCACAAGTGGGCATTTCCTACTCTGCTTGCAAATGCAGTCTGCAGAGGAAATCCCCCCCTCCTTCTTCCAACTGTCGTCCACCCATCGGCTTATTTTGATATTTGCATAACTCCGCCCAGGAGCCAGCCCACTGCTTACATCAGGGCTGAGGGCTCTTGAGAGGATTACTGAGGGCAGGGTGCTGTGGTGGTTTAAGAAGCCATGTACAGCACCCTGCCGGCCCCTCGCACCAGCCATGATCTGCCTGCATTGCATAGCTTAACATAGATAACAAAGTATGTAAAGAGAAAAGAAAGGTTTTATTTTATCTTTATATAAAAATGTATGCGCATGTTGAGGATGAAGAAAGGAACCAGGAAGGGCAAATCATAAGCAGAATAAGCTTCAGGTGACAACATTTATTGTGTATCAGGGGTGTGGAAATTTTAGAAAAAACTACTTGTCCAAGGACTAAAGCGGGGGCCGAATCTACTTGTCCTGATACAAAAACATAATTTTAACCAAAATTGTATTTAGTAGTGCTAAGAAGCACTTCTCATTGGTCAGTGCTGTCAGGTGACCGCGGTCACCTTCTGAGGGAGGTGACAGAGCCTGTCACAGCTCCACTGTCTGGCTTCGTCACGGCTCCACGCCCCAGCCACGTCATGGCTCCACGCCCCCTGCTCGCAGCGCTGCTCTCGGCGCTCGTTTAAGAAAAAAAACCCAGCCCTGCTACTTGTCCGTAGCAGGGCTAAAATAGTGACCAAACAACTTGCCCGGCGGCCGGAAAACTACATGTCCCGGGCGTCGGGCGATACGAATTCCACACCCCTGTGTATATATTGAGTTGGCAAGCTTCAAAAAATTCTCACATCTTATGTTCATTCTGTCAGACCAAGCAAGCAGAAGAGTTTTCTGTGAGCTTATCACCGAAATATATTGAGTTGGGGCTTCTAGATTTTGTGTTATTTCCTTGTTTGTTTGTAAACCAAAATTTATTTTGTAGCCGTGCTTCCTTACATTTATGCTAATCGTGCTTTTTTTTATTTTTTTGCAGAGGAGCACCATGGCTGTCCAGTCATTCTTGTATGTGGCCCACAAAATGTTGGAAAATCGACATTCAATCGCTACCTCATCAACCAGTTATTAAATCAGTAAGTTGCTACTTTCGTGTTTTCTTTATGCTGCCCTGTGTCATAAAAATGTTCACATGTTCTCTGTGTGCTCTGATGGTCAGTATTACTTTTGGTCTTAAAGTGGTTAGTTACTGGGGGTTGACAAACAAAAGTCTAGTTACTAAAAATCCTAATTTGTTCTTTTATACAGTTAGTGACACTAAACTCCGTTGTTAAATCTTAAAACTGCATTCAGGTACCTTAATCACAACAATGTATCTTTTTTGTGTATCACTCGGCTGTAGATCCTCAAATCATCTCTGAATTGGTGCTGACACTATCCTTCCTTCTGGAGGGGGGCTACTTATAGTCCCCATGGTCCTTGTGTGTGTTGTATAGTAGTCACAGCTCCAAGCTCGCTCCCATGAAGGACTACAATCTCATGTTTAGTTTACTAATGTTTGTTGTCCATTTTGGGAGCTAACTTGTTGCGGTGCCTTCTTTACAACACACAGGGACCATGGGGAACAAAAGTAGCCCCCCTCCAGAAGGAAGGACGGTGTCGGCACCAATTCAGAGATGATTTGAGGATCTACAGCCGAGTGATACACAAATAAGATACATTTTTGTTAATAGTTCAGGTACATTAATGTATTTGTAAGGTTTAAAGTAGAATTATGAGGTGAGTGCTTTTCACTCATCCTCATAGTTCTAGCCGACCTGTGACAATGAAACTGTCACAGGAAAAGCTCTAACCCCATAGTTCTCCTTTAATTCCTGAGTTTATTGTCACTTTAACATAAGTACCCGAAGTGTGTCGCTGCATCAGCTTCCTGTAATCCCCATTGCATGTAGAGTAAGAATCTTCAGACTGGTAACACTAGGGTTTGGGAGAAAGGGGCAAATCCAGGAACTCTGGAAGTTGGTTCTTAATACAGGAATCTTCAAGGGATTAGAAGCCAGCAGTCCACTTTGACCATCAGGGTTCACAGATAACTGCATTTTTTATTTACAGATAGATCATAGATCAGTCATTAAATATGATTCCTATGAAAGCATTTAGAGACAGCAAAGTTTCTTCTTTTTCACAGCATTCCATCTGTTGGCTACCTGGAGTGTGACTTGGGACAGTCAGAGTTTACTCCTCCTGGCTGTATATCACTGCTGAACATCACCAAGCCTGTTCTTGGTAAGTGTCTTATAGGTGGGCTTTGTTCCATTAGACTAAGTTCAAACGGACGTATATTTACCATAAGGTTGCATTAAGGGTCTTGGATACGTAACAGAAAAGGTGAAATACTTTACTCTTGTGGAGAAACTGCAGCTCTAGGATGCTTTTAGTGCGGTCACCTCAGAAGGACTGGGAATGTAGCCATGTGATGTCTGTTGGGGTTCAGATTGGCTGGTCTTCTCCTTTAGCATAGATAATGTATACCAGTGGTCTCAAAATACCGGCCCGTGAGCCGGTACTATGTGGCGACCGCGTACCAGACTTGCGGGAGCAGCTACACGGTCTGCATCTCTGTCGGATGCAGACCGCATAGCTGCTTCTGTGCCGACACTCGGATCCTTTGGCCGGCGTCTTCGCTAAACGCAGGCCGAAAGGATTGATTAGATTAGTAGTGTCTGCAGCAGACATTACTAATCGCCACTAGATAAACGGTGAGCGTGGCGCCGCTCACAGCCTCCTCCCTGCAATGTGTGTGGGGGTATTTTTTCATGTGTATGGGGGGTGTATTATTTTGTGTAGGTTTTAGTTTTTTCTATGTGGGGGGGGTGTAGAAAGAGCATAAGTGTATTAGGCTCCATTCACACCTGTATCTTTAGGTGCAATTATGGATTCCTGATTCCTGCATCAGGAACATGCATTTCCTGCATCAGAAATCCCATATCTGACGTTTAAGAGCGGCACCTGTCACCTATTCAAGTTAATGATCAGGTGACAGCAGTTGCATGTAAATGCCGGCACACCGCATGTAATGATATGTGATATTATTACATATCATTACATGCGGTGTGCCGGCATTTACATGCAACTGCTGTCACCTGATCATTAACTTGAATGGGTGACAGCGGCCGGGTGTAAACATCAGATTAGGGATTCCTGCTGCACGAAAATGCAAGTTTCTGACGCAGGAATCCCTAATTGCACCTAAACCTACAGTTATGAATGGGGCCTTATTGTGTGTATTGGGGTCCGTAGTACCATATCGCATATAGTTACATTTTATTTTAAAGGAGAACTATGGGGTAAGTGCTGTTCCCCATAGTTCTCCTCAGGGTCACGGGAGGACATAAACTAGCGTCCTCCCGTGACCCAAAGCTCAGAATACCGGGAGCTACAGCTCGTGGTATACTGAGACCGCCGCTGCCGGGACGGATCACAACATTACTGTTGAGATCTCCCCAGCTGCGTGAGTGACAGCTGGCTCTACCTATCTAGGGGAAGAGCTAGCTGTACCCTCCCCCGTTCGTTCCTCCAGTCAGCGCTGGAGGAGGGATCCCTGCAGGGACAGGGTAGATAAGTGAGGGAGTTATGGTATGCGTTCGCTCACTTCTCGATCTATTGAGTCGACGTGTGACATGTCGGCTCGAACTATGAGGCTGAGAGAAAATCACTCACATCATAGTTCTCCTTTAAAGTTTGAAATTTGGCGAGCGGCCCCCATGGGGGAGAAAAATGTTGTTGAGTGGCCCTCGAGGGAATTGAGTTTGAGACCCCTGATGTAGACAAAGACCTAGGCCTTTACATGTGACCATCACTGACTGGAGCCGGAGTAGAATTTTCTACCGAGGCCAGTTTGTGAAGCTTTATTTATCTATCCGAGCAATATTATTGTAGTGCTTGGCTCTTACACTCCTAATTCGGTAATCTGATCTTGGAGATCTCCACTTGGCACTGTCCATCCTAAAGCTGAACTCTGGGTTAACAAGTATAAGAGGCATGTGTGCTTTCTGCAGTAATCCAGAGTGAAGCGTTACCTCTGTGCAGGATCTTCCTGTAATGAAGACTGGTCACTGCTGCTTTCTTCTTGTGAAAGATGATGGTCTCATCTCCGCCCCCTCCTCTAGTTTCCTGTAGAGGGTGGAGCCTGCTGGGCTCCTCTTACAGCTCTGCGCTCTGCAGTTGATGTGCAGCACAGTGATGATGTCACTGCTGCCTTTTTTTCAAGGTGATAACTAGGTGTACAAATCCGTTTGATGCACACAGAGTTGATTTATATATCCTTTTGTGGCTGTTGAGGAATATATTTAAATGAACATTTTTGTGCCTGGCCTTAGACTTTAGATTAATTTGCAATGACCCCAAGGAAACTTATTATATATCTCATTCGTCCCTCGACAAACCACCAGTAAAATAAGACGCAGGCTTGTGAAACTAGGATGGAGCTGCTTCAGTGTGGTCAGAATAAACCTGGAAGGTGATATCGCTGAAGGGGACCGGCTGGATCATCAGGTTATTTACTCAGTTGTACAGATGGTGCATACATGACAGTCATTACCGTTTGCTTCGTGAGGGACAAAAGAAAGCCGACCCCTCCCCACTTTTGAATTTAGAATTTACATACATTTTAATGGCTGAGTGGCTTTTCAAAACCTTCTGTTGAATTCATTTCTTGTAGGTCCTCCTTTCACTCATCAGAGAGATGTGCAGAAAATGGTTTACTTTGGAGACGTGTCCTGTGAACAGGAGATGGAGCGCTACTTCGAATCTGTGAAATATGTCATCACTTGTTACAAGAGGGAGCAGCCGCTCATTATCAACACCATGGGATGGGTTAAAGGTCAGCTTGTTATTTTACTGCCCTTAATAACTATAGTCATTTTCTAACAACATGTGAATTAAGTGGGGGAGGAATTGTATGAGTTGAGATCTGAAGGGTTTACAGCATTTTTCTGAAGGTCCAGTTTGAGCCTCGCTTCCAGTAAGATTGAAGTAGAACTCCGGCCTTCCCTAGTCTTGCACAGTTGTACCAGCTTCTCTCCTGGGCTGAAATTGCTTACTCTGACTTCACAATACACTAGGAGCTTCGAAGCTGCAGCAAGTCTAAAAGAGCCTGTCTCATTTACTGACTGGAACACGTCCAGCATCATCTCGCTCTAGAACAGTGGTCCCCATTGACATGGCGACTAGTCATTGCTGCCAAACAACTGGCAGAGCCAGTCAACTAGTACTTCTGCCTGAACCCAGATTTTTCTTTAAGTGAGCATATGCACTGCTGATGCATCTACATCTAGAAGCCTGCAGCCAGAAAAAGCTCTGAACCACTGGTGGTGGTATGCATGGTATAGGACAGGGTTGGGAGAGGGATGTAAAATAGGTCAGGTGTAAGAGAGCCTAGATATTTACTTGGGCGGATGGGTTAGGTCGGGGGAAGGGGGCAAAAAGGATATGTTGGTTTTAAAGTGAACTTACCCTTTTAAAAGTTTCTTTGTCACATGTATTTGGCTTCTGCTGAGTTTATAATACACAGGTCAGAGGTCTTGTGACTGCCATATTTAGTATGTAGATGTTCAAATGCCTGTGCTTTTGTGATGTGTATATTCACTGATAGTCAAGGTTGAACCATATTCTGATCATGGAAATGTGGAGCGTTCTGGAGAAGCCTTGGCACATTTCTTAAAACAGAGACATCCCGCGTCTGGTTGGAGTTGCCTTTTATTATTTGTTTACAGCTTTGTTGTGGCTTTTTGTTTCCCTTTCAGGGTCTGGATGGCTACTTCTGCTAGACCTGATCCACCTGCTGTCCCCAAGCCACGTCGTGCAGATGGTTGCAGAGGGAGCTGACCGCATGCAGCCACTCACCCATGAGTATGTTCGGAACACCCCCGGATCTATGACGAAGCCCTGTTCTGGCGCCAAGTACAGAAACAATGAGTTGGACTCCTCCGATGAAGAAGGAGACTCTGCAAATGACGTTTGTTTTAAAGCGTCAGTAGGACACGAGCTTCTTCAAGCAGAGAGCAGTTTTAGCGGAGCAGGAGGGACCGAGACTGTGTAAGTCATTTTTTGTAAGCGTTTGGTTTGTGAAATTGGCAACTTAAAGGTAGTGATTTAAGGTATGACGGTCCTTCTAGAAGCCTTTATAGAACTGTAGATGGTGTACCAAGGCCATTTCAGTCCTGGCTAAAGTGTAAGTGAAAGCAGCCACCTGGATAGGCTGAGCATACGTCTGGATACTCCCAATGAGATCTCCCTGTAATAATTCCCGACTCTGCTCCTGTCCACCTGGGAGTTTTGGGAGCTCCTGACCACCTTTGTGTGTTCCAGTTCCTCCCATTACATTCTCCATAATAAAAAATAAAAACCTTTTCCAGCAGTCACATAGACTTGTCTATTGCTAGGTAGTCTTTAGTGGGGTGAGTGTGTTCCCAGACGGGGAATGTACTCCCTTCACTGATGACAGGCCAGCAATAGTGTTAGCATTGTTAACATTTGGAACAGAAGTGTCCTCTCTATTTTATGGATTGCCTTGGGTTCTGAACCCCCACAGTGTACTAGTCAGAGGTGAGGAGGGCTGCAGCTAACAATTATTTTCATTGTCGATTAGTTGGCTGATTCTTTTTCAGGTGAATCGAAAGGGGAAAAAATGAAATGCTGTCCTTAATTTACAATACACAAATGAAGTGTATTTTAAATTCAGCGCTTTGCAAACTGTTGGCTCTATATAAGTCCTCTATAAAAATGAACAAGCTTTTTCTCAGCTTTATTTTTTTTTCCCTTTTAGGCGTTGTCATGCCTGGATTCTGCGTGATCTTGCCATGTTGGGCTACATGAGTAAGTTACAGCAATTAGAACTGGAACAGATCATTCCCCTGAACAGCTTAGTACCATACGAGGTCAGTATATGGATCGCCTGTCGCATTACACTTTGCAGAGGTTGACTTCCTTTTACCTATCATGCCTACTAATAAAGTTGCATCTCAAAATTGTTTTCTATAGCTTCTCATGCAGTACGTCCATCACATGTGGGGGACTCCTTGCATATAAATATTTTTTTTTCTTGTGCTATGAGTTTCCCAGCAACAAGTTATCTCCGTGCTTTGCCATTTTAGTTGAAGGGAAACTGTTATAAAATTATCAGGTTTCAGACTATTCTGTTATTTATACAAAGATAAGTACAGACCTCCTGATTCATTTTAATATACTTCGACGGATGATGTGCTCTGGATCCTGGAGCTGCTTCTGTTTCCTTGTTCTTTCTCTCCATACGCCATCCCATTCTTGGCTCCTCTCTTCCATTCGCTGTCTTCTGCTCTCGCTCTCTTCCGTACTCCTTCACCAACCCTAACCCTCGCGCTCTCCCTCACCTCTCTCGCGCTCTCCTCTACCTCTTTTACTCACTTGCTCTCTTTTTTTTTTTCCTCTCACAATTGTGGCAGAAGTAGAACAATGCCGGGACTATGGTCAGTGCTTTTCCCCATAGTTCTCCTAAAGGTAACAGGAGGACACAAACTAGCGTCCTCCCATCACCCAAAACTCAGTATACCGCGAGCTACAGCTCGCGGTATACTGAGACGCTGCAGCCGGAATGGATTTTGACAATTATGTCTGGATCCGCCCAGCTGCGTGAGTGACAGCTGGCTCTGCCTATCTAGAGGCTGTACCCGCGCCGTTCCGCCAGTCAGCGCTGGAGGATCGGACAGGCAAGGGGGGAATCCAGTCCCTCCCCTGTCACAAATCTCTCCCGGCACAGGATCGAGAAGTGAGCGAGCGCCGGTATGTGTTCGGTCACTTCCCAAACTACTGAGCCGACCTGTGACAGTCTCATTGTCACAGGTCGGCTCCAACTATGAGGCTGAGTGAAAATCACTCACCTCATAATTCTCCTTTAATGAAATAAGTATTCTGTTGGGATCCTCTACTGCCCCTTAGAGAAGGGGGGGGGGGCACTGTGTTAACAAATGAGGTGTAAATAGCTGAGATTTAACATGAGGAATATGCAGAGCTTAGAGGCGCTGTAAATGATTGTTGACATTGGAAGCCTGGAGGAAATGAGTGCTGATGGATTTGCATAGTTAGGTTGCAGATGAAGTGCTTGTTTACAGGCACTTTGCATGTATAAAAAGCTATTTAAAGGGCATTTATGTTTTAGAAAGGGCTTATGTACTGTTCGTTTTTAATTCTCCTTCCTAATGCTGTGTGTATAATCTGTAAACGGCACAAACGGCAGGTACCACTGTGGAGGTATACAAGACCCTTCCGCAGAACATTGTACTTGTATAAATACAAATGTAGCCAGGTTACTTCTTGTTTAACTCCGTAGGCTGAATTTGTCAATATGTTGATGCAATTCAAATTATGAACAGGGAGATGTAGACTGCGGTTGTCCTATGCATTCAAGGATCATAAACATTTGATTATTAGTCTATAGCATTGAAGGTTTAGATACGCTTTGTCTGTGCACATGGTTTATCGAAAGCTGTGCAGTCCCTGGGTGGCTTGTTCTGTCATTCATATCCGTTACCGCTGATTGCTCTTTGCAGACATACACATCGCTAGCAATGGGAGTTCAAAAACCGTATATGAAATCTAGTTGTGATTGTACGGCACAGCGAGTGAATGAACCCGTATAACGTAGACCGTGTTCTTGTGTCTCCCAGGTGCCTTTTAATGCCGTAGCACTTCGTGTCATTCATTCAGCCGTCGCTCCGTCTCACATCATGTACACGGCCAACGCTAACTGGGTCGGCCTTTGCCACATTCTGGATGATATCAGCAGCCAGGAAACCGACTCGGTGATCCTAACACAGACGCCAATCTGTGACTGCCTAGGGTTTGGTGAGTTGGGACAGAGAAAAAATAATATATGGGGCTGATCATACAAGGGTATAAAACTGCTTGTTGGCCAATCAAGCTCCTTATTGAATTTTTCCAGAAGAGAGGGCATTAAAATCTCAGCATGAGCGGCTCGTCGCTTGTCTTACTGTTTATAATTTTTTTTTGTAACATGGCTTATCAGTGCAGTCATCCCTTAATCCAGAGGTGAGCAACTCCAGCCCTCCAGCTGTGCTTTAGCTACAAATCCCAACGAGCCTCTGAGAGTCATACCTGTAACTGTCACTCTTGCAGTACCTCACGGGACTTGTAGTTCCACAACAGCTGGAGGGCAAGAGTTGCCTAACCGTTGCTTTAATTCTTTAGCCTGGAATCGCACCTTTCTGTGCACATTTTACATGCATTATCAACAATCGGGGGTTTTCAAGCTCTTCCATTGTCCTCAATAGGCCCTATAATACCATGTCACTGCATCGAAACAATTGCTCAGTGTTTCGTACAGATTTGAACAAGCACCATTCAAAACTATGGCTAACCTGTGTACATTCACTCACCTGGGTTAAAAGGTGTCCATTAAATGATTCTGTGTGAAAATTCCAGGCTAATTTAGTCTCTACCAAGCAGAATATAATGTTTGGTTTCGTTCCACTCTCCATCTCTGAAATGTGGACAGCGCTTAATCACGTACAGTGTCTGACTGCTCATCCTGCATCGTACATGGTGATGTGGACACAATACAGCTTATGGATGGCCTTACCTTTTCTTTTTTTTTTCTACAAACGTGCATCTCCATACTATAACCATATGAAGCTGCGGCAGCTATCTTGAGCCTGCCTCCATTTCCTCTCTGAACAACTTCTAACTACAATCAATGCCCTCACCTCCTGATGTGTACTGTAGTTGCCTGCCACTCACAGCTGTTAGCTTTGTTCTGGATCATTATATGAGAAAACACATCCCTGGCATCCCTTTGGAGCTGTATTGCTCAAGTAACCGATCAGCAGATTGAACATCTAAGGTCTGCAGCATCTTGTGGCCAGCATGCAAAAAAACAAACCTATCTAACCGCTAAGGTTAAAAACAAGTTTTAGATTCACATCTTCTGTAGAATATGTGAAAGCCGCACTGCCTCGTCAAGGTACCTCCTATATAGTGCGGTCCTAACTCTAACCTATGAGAGTCTCCATCTTGGAGCACATGTAGCAAAAGATAAAATTGGGTGAAGGTTTGTCAGTTTTGCATGCTGGCTGGTGAGTGCAGGGAAACATTTTGCTGTGGTACTGTATAAAGCCCTTTTCATGTGCACCTTGCTTGAAAGCTGGTTATTAGTTGATGAGTGCGTTTGCCGTTCGTTTTGCTTGACTGATTTGGTGCAGTGGCACACTGGGGGTCTCAGCTGCCGTTGTGATGTGCGGGGTCCCTTGTGCGTCTCTGTGCCTTTTAAGGAGGTTGGGCTTCCTCCTGACAAACCTGCACCCAATATTATCTGTTGCTCCATGTGCTCCAAGATGGAGACTCTCATAGGTTAGGGTTAGGACCGCACTACACAGAGGAGCCTTGACGCGGCTGTGCGGCTTTCACATATTCTGCAGAAGACATGTATCTAAAACCTCTTTTTTTAACCTTAGCGGTTAGACAGGTTTTTTTTTTTTTGCATGCTGACTGGTGAGTGTGTTGGGAAACTTTTTGCTGTTCAACAGAAAGAAGCGGGCATATCTAAAGGGATCCCGGGGATGTCTCCCTGTGGCCATCAGAAAGCAGCGGGCACATCGAAAGGGATCCCGGGGATGTCTCCCTGTGGCCATCAGAAAGAAGCAGGCACATCTAAAGGGATCCCGGGGATGTCTTTCATATAATACTCTTGAAAGCAAATCTGAGGCATAGTGCTGTGACGTTTACAGAAGCCTGCCGGCCTCTCCCACCAATTTGGAGCAAAGACCAGGAGACAAACTCCATAATGACTTCATTGGGTCTTAAGTTATTTCTTAAAAACTGAATGATTTGATTGAAAAAAATATTAATTGCATGCTACTTTTTGGGGGGAATGAGGGAAGGTATTTTACACTTTAACATACAATTGTAAATTGAGGAGTTCTTCCTGTTTCCTCAGGTATTATTCGGGGAGTTAATGTAACGAAGAAGGTTTACCACATCCTTACACCCATCCCTCCAGAGACTCTGCGATCGGTCAATTGCCTCCTGATAGGAAACATATCTATACCACACAGCGTATTCAAGCGCCAGGTATTGTATCTTATTGTTAAATTATTACATGGCACATAATACCATGGCACAGAATGATTAGTGAGCCCTATTTATGTGTCTGAAGGAAGGGTGGTGTTGCTATAGAAACAAAAGTCTCCCCACTGTAAGAATGAGAGCTGTTTGCCGTTGTTTTTTTTTCACAGATAAGTTCCACAATTCCTAACAACGTCTGCCCATTACTGTGACTATTCTTCACTGCAGAGAAATGACTCTTAAGCTGGCAATACTCCTCTAGATATCTCTGTCCCCTGAGCTAGAGAAATCAATCAGATCCCCCATACGCATTATAATGCATGGGTGAAGAAATCTCCCCTATCCGCTATTGTATTCATCAGCTGCATACCCGAACAGTGACTGCAAATGATTGTTGGACAGTGACTGAAATCCAATTTTTCACCCTGGGCTTTCAACAAAAATCATCTGAAGTCAATTTTGTTGAGCCAGGTGAGGTCGACAAAGCTGAATTTTGGCAAATTTTCAGCAGGGATCAACTGACGTTCAAGAAGTTTATGCTTGGCTTAAAATGACACTTCAATAAGGAGTTAGATAGTATAAATGAATTCAAGTCCCTAAACTATTAACAACAATGTGTCTTATTTGTGTATCACTCGGCTGTAGATCCTCCAATCATCTCTGAATTGGTGCTGACACTGTCCTTCCTTCTGGAGGGGGGGCTACTTTTGTTCCTCATGGTTCCTGTGTGTGTTGTAATATAGTCACGGCACCAAGCTTCCCCCCCGGGATGGACTACAATCTCAATACAAATGAGTAAACTAAACATGAGATTGTAGTCCATCACAGGAGTGCGTTTGGAGCGGTAACTACTTTACAACACACACAGGGACCATGGGGAACAAAAGTAGCCCCCCTCCAGAAGGAAGGACAGTGTCAGCACCAATTCAGAGATGATTGGAGGATCTACAGCCGAGTGATACACAAATAAGATACATTGTTGTTAATAGTTCAGGTACTTGAATTATTTTTTAGGATTTAACTACTGAGTTTAGTGTCACTTTTAAACACTGCTGGGCTACTATTGGCACTCTAATCTTTAAACACCGGGGTTCTGGGTTCAGTTTGCCCCAAGGACACAATCTGAGCAGTTTTATATTCTGTGTCTGTCCCCTCTGGGTGCTCCAGTTTCTACCCACAATCCAAACACATGCTGGTTAAGTCAAATTACATCCAACCCAACTAGCCTGATGGTGTGTGTGTGTGTGTATGTGTCCATTGTCTAGTTTATTATGTACATACAGCAGACCATTAACCTAGGATCCTGTGCAGCTTGTCAAGCAATGTCTGTTGTGGAGGGTACAATGCCTAATGAACTGCACAGGGGCCCGGGTGATGGTCTGGTGAATGTACATAATGAATATCCTTGCGGTTTTCAATATGCGCTAGTGTTATAAATGCAGGTATTTAATTACCTTTGTGTGGTGATACTCTTGATAAAGCTTGATTCTAGAAAACTGGAGGCAAGTAAAGTCAGTATAAAGCAGCTTTGTTTCCTTTAGCAATGAGAGAAGCCTCAGATAGAAACTCTCCATCCTGACATTCCACCTACAGGCTGGTTCCAGGGTAGGGAAGCTGCAGGTGATATCAGAAGGCAAATTAATTTGCAGCTCAGGAATTGGGAGAATACCCACTTCAGCCTGAAGCTTCTCACACAGGTATTTCATCCGATTTCCCTGTAGTAGTCGCCTTTGCTCATCTTTTATACAGGATGTCTGTAGACGGGACCTGTTACTCTAGTTCCCTCTAGTGCTGGGGGGCCAGTTTATCTTCCATATCTAAGAATGTCTCTTCTCTCTCTCCCTTATTTTCCATGAACAGCCTGGCGACGTTCCCTATGTCACCTCGGAATACGACTTCTCCATATACGGCTCCGGGAAGATGAAGATAAACAAACACCTCAAAAGACGTGAACATGTCTAAGTGTTGAAGTCCAGTGTACTGCATTGTGTGCCGTTGTTTTGCAGCTATGTGAGAAAGTGCAAATGATTGGCAGTGATCCTGGATGGCGGGCACAGAATTTCCTCTGTAAATACTTTGTCTGCATCATTATTTCTTTTTTATACTGTTGGTATCTTTTGGTTATAAGTTCATTCTAGGGAGCTATCATGTCTAAAAAAGTCTTCATGCAAAATCCTTTTTATTGTATAATATGTACATAATCCTGTTTTGAGAAATGCGTTTGCAATAAAGGTTTGTAAAAAACAAAAACTTTTTTTACTTTGTGTATTTTGTTCAGACCGTTAAACAAGAACGAATCAAAAGCTTCTTCAGCAGCCCCTCCCTCTCTCAGTCCTAATGTACCATAGGCTGGGAGCCCTGTCCCTTCCCTTGCACTCTTATTGGACTATAAGGCCACCCATCCCATCCGCTACCTGTTGGGAAGGTAGGGTGGTGGGGCTACACTGCGACCATGCAAGGTGCTGTTGTAGCTTCCTACATAAAGCACCCCAGTATTTTGTGTTATGGGAGACATTCTGCAGGGACCAGCAACCTTCTTAAAGTAAACCTGTCATGAAAGAGACAGTGAGTGCCATTGCTGATGACCTCCTGAATATGCTGGCTGTACTGCTTTGCATGGTGCTGTCAGTCAACACTTTGAACATGCTTTATAAAAGGAGAGGGCAGAGCTTCCTCGGCTTCTCTTGCATTGTCCAATTCTAAGCTGGGGGAGGTTGGTGACCAGACACTATTGCCTATCTGCTGTACAGAAAAGTGAAGACATCGACCTGGCTATATGTTTTGGCCGGTGTGATCACAAAAGTGACTGAGCAAAATTACGCTTCCGGTAGAATGGTCCAACATTCCCATAGACACACTCCTGAACCTTGTGGACGCCTTCCCAGAAGAGGTGGAGCTGTTATAGCGGCAAAGGGCGGAGCCAACTCAATATTGAACCCTACGGACTAAGACTGGGATGTCATAAAAGTTTATGTGCGTGTAAAGACAGACGTCCCAATACTTTTGGCAATGTAGTGTTTATGTATTTAGCTGGTTTCCTGGAGTTCAGCTTTAAATTTTCCACCACTTCCATATACATCTCTGGAAGATGGGTTTTTTGTTATGGACCGCTGCCTCCTCGGGGCTCTTCCTACGTTGTCTGCAAACTCTGTTTAGCTAAATTTGATATGGCCCCTCTGGAGTTTTTGTGCACTGTTCTATGTACATATTTCTTCTCTGCCCAAACTCTTGGATAAGTTCCTTTCTCTATCCAAGATGTGACATACTTCTCTCCGGCCGGTGGATGTCTGCACGGTGCATTAATCACACTGCAGTCTACTGAGCAGGATAAATGGGAGAGTGCGGACAATGGCTCACAATGTTTATTCTCCGCGAGCTGTGTTGGCACCAGACTATGCCAGCTAAGCCGACTGACGGGACCATTTACAACCACGCTGTCTATCCTTCATTTAAAGGGCTGCAGCATGTGTGCCTACAAGGTAATAAAGGAAGGCAACTACAGCAGGTCAAATACCATTTAATGTGTATGTATAGGGTAGGGAAGGAATAAAACCCATGGGTTCTTTTTTTATTTTATTTTTTTGCTGTCTGTCTCATTGGGGACATTTTCCTACATGTCCTGTTCCAAAGACGCAGCAGAAAGTTAGAGAAATCTCCGAAAGTGAGGGGAATAGTCCGCAGAACAGGTGTCCCCATTGGAGGATCTTTCTCTTACCTCTTGTTCAGTGACAACTCTAAAATTCCGCATTCCCCCGCAGTTACTTTCAGTGGTCACCAGTACTTATAGAGGGGTTAATCTTCCCAGCGGGGGATAAAGATTGGGTAGAGGGTCTACTCCTTCCCCACATTATCCAATCCTAAAAAATAATGCTGGGCATTTCAAGTTTTGCTTCCCCCCTTTGCGGGTGACAGGTAGATGGCACTGCCATTCCAGTCAAGCCATTGTCATGTGTCTGCCACTCGGGGGTTAATGGATGTCCCCCTGCACTTGGAACATGGCTGAATGACTGTCCATTGTGCTTACTATGCTAATACATTCCTCCTAGGCAGTAAAGAGCCCACCAGATTCCAACCCACTTTGTACTTTGTTGCACAGCTATCAAGAGGCTTGCCAGGGACTGTCTCTAGCCGGCTTTAAAGAGAACCTGTCACGGCTGATGCTCCCATTCTGACCTGTTGTCCTGGACCTGGCACAGCTTCCACCAATCGTGCAATTGCTGGATGGGAGCCTTTGCTGTGAGAGATAACAGCCGTCCTGGCAGATTCCCTGTATTAAATGTAGATCACGTGCTGCTTGAATTTAGTCAGTCACAGAACTAGTGTTATTCATAGCCACAGTCAAAGTGCACCTGTCATGGCAAGGAAAAAAGTTGGCAGGCATTGTTGGCCTTCTGAAAATGCTAGGTCACTGATTATCCTACTGCAAGGGTTAACTGCTCGTTTTTGCCTAGGGTACAAAATAAAATGAATACTCGCCTGATCCTCCTAGCTGGCCTGGCTCTTTAACCAAGGAGCGTCTCTACACACCCCCCCCCCTCCCTCCGCTGCAGTGGTCTAGGAATCACCTCCAATACAGTGTATGGGATGTGAGGACGCTGACAGACATACCATCACTGCAGCAGTGGAGGAGGGAGCACTGCCGGCTCGGAGGATCGGGTGAGTATAACTTTTTTTTTTACCCTGAGCAAAATGATCAGTTAACCCTTGCAGTGCCAGGAAAGTGCCACTGCAAGGGAAAATAACATTTCTGCTAAATCAACATTCCAGCCCTGATGAAGGGGGCCTATTGGGGCCCCAAAACTCGTGGATTGCCATTGAAAGATTTGAATGGAATAAATATTTGTTGGATGCTTACCTAGGCAGCTGGTGGGCACCATTGGATAACAAAAGTAGCTACTAGAGCTTGCCATTCTGTAGCTAGCACCAAACGCTGCAAACAGTCAATGGCTCGGCTACTGAGCTACAAATGGCATGGAATTCATGCAACACAGATCTTACATTGTAATACATTTTTTTCTTTAGGAGAGCGTTTCTGCAGGCGCTATACGTCATTGCTAAAATGTGATTAGGCTCTTAAGGCTGCATTCATAAAACAGGGGTATGGTCTTTCCATGGCCATGCAATTGCTTTAAAAAAGGGGCAGTTCAGTGGCTCAGTGATTAGCACCTCTGCCTGCACTAAGGTTACATAGTTATATAATTACATGGTACTTGGAGGTTAAATAAAGACACAAGTCCATCAAGTTCAACTTTTGTGAATGTGTGTGTGTATACGAGTCTGTGTGTGTTCCAGTCATTAAGAGTACCTGTACTCAGGGCTGGATTTCTCACAAGGCCTGGCCGAGGGGCAGCAGGGGTGTGGAATTCCTATCTACCGATGCCCAGGACATGCACTTCCGGGCACCGGGTCGGTAGTTTTCTACATTTAGCCCTGCTTTGGGCAAGCCGAGCTAAATGTACAGCGGGGAAGCTGCCACTTGTTTTCTATGCAGCCTGCAGGTCTGCCATTCTCCATGGGGGGGGGAGGGGGGCTTTTTGGCAGGCAGGAGGGTGCATTGAGGAACCTGGCCTTGGGGTAGTAGAGAGAGTAAATCCGTCCCTGCCTGTACCCCTGTATGTTATGGTCTCTGAGAAAGGTATCTAAGTGATTTAGGTTGCCAGTTCGAATCCAGGTCCAGCCAAGACAATATCTGCATGGAGTTGCTTGATCTCACTGTGCTTGCATGGGGTTCCTCCGGGTACTCTGGTTTCCTCCCATGCTGCAAGGCATGTTGGTAGGTTTTGTGGCTTCTGTCTAAATTGGCCCTAGTAGGTGTACGTATGAGAATGTAAGCTCCTTGAGGGCAGGGACCGATGTCAATGTACAATATATAAAGCACTGTGTAAATTGACGGTGCTATATAAATACCTGTAATAAATAAAGTGACGTGCTTTACACATGTGCTTAGCGTCCCACTGGCTTCAGAGCTTCCAAGAGCTATTAAAAAGAATGAGTATGTTCCCCAGCAGAGTCTCTCGTGATACGGACAAAGAATTTTAATTTTCTCGGCAGGAGAGGAGCTATGCAACGTTATGTAAGAGAGGAAGGTGAAGAAATGGAAAATGGGAAGAAGAACATGGTGGAGGGATGACATCTTGGGAATGACAAGCAGCCGTGAACTTAAAGCAGAACATAAAAGTGATTTTAAAGTTTAAAGGTTTTAAAGCTTTTTGAAATGCTGATTAAATCACATACAATGGATGCTGCTTCTCGATGTTTTAAAGTTTTACAGGGTTATTCACAAAAGGGTGAAGAGTTTGGAGAAGTAACCAATCCAGGGCAACATAGCTCAACTGGAAAGTGAACTGAATTGGAGAATTTTTCCTAATCAGCTATGTTGTCCTAGATTGTTCCCTTCTCCTGCCTTCTCCAAACTCTTCACCCTTTTGGGAATAACCTTATTGGCTTCCTACCGAATCAGCTGGTCTCCTGAGCACTGGTCCTGATATCCTGTTTTAGGGTGGCTCATTTCTCGCAGGGTCGTATGGAGCCACCCTTGTGTGTACTAGTAGGCTGTGTGTGTCTACAATCACACAGTCACAGCAAGGCAAGCCACTTCCCTCCTTCCCCTATCCTCCCTCCTCCAAGCTAGTAGATGGACAGCTGCTGGAGACCAGGAAAGCTGAGCTGAGAGTTGAAGCTGTTTGGAAACACGATGACTCTCTGTGCTTGGACAAAAAAATGTAAATAAATATTTTTCTGACGAATTCATATTTGTTTGATCAAAAAGTTTGAAAGTTTTATATTACTCTAGCCTGGCAAAAGACAAGGCCAAATGGAAAGTGATGGTGGAAGCAAGGTTTTAAGATGGAAGGTCACCAAAGACTACAAGTGGTTATGGCGTGGTCTTTGGTGATATGACTTTTGACAGGTTCTTAAAATGAGTTAGTCCTGGTTCACACCTAGGCGGCACAGTTTTTGCG